TCCCTCTTTCCCTCCTCACATTTAGAGGGTTTTGTCTTCCAGTACCTTCCTAGTAACTCCTACCCACAAATGATTTTACATATGCAGAGGCTCTGCAGACCATGGTTACATCTTTACCACTCTGAGCTAACAACAAATAAGCCCAGAAATGACTATTTTTAACAGCCCCTCTCAAAACAAAACAAAACACCAGTGTCTCTCTCCCTGTAGCCCAGATTGGCCTCAAACTTGCTATGTTGCCAGGATAATCATTAATTCACTCTCTGTGGCCTTTGCTATTGGCACAGCGTCTCTTCCCTTGCTCACTCTCCCCTTCCAGGTGCCTACCAACCCCCACTGTGATTTGGTCACTTGGAATCACAGTAGTTTATTTTCTCACTGAGCACTTCAAGAACAGGTTTGGTGTTGTCCTGCATCCCTCTGTCCCCAATGGACCCTACAGAGCCTGGGATATAGCAAGAGATCAACTATTGGTTGTCCAAGGATTTCAAATGTACCAGCATGGTTCCTGTGTGCTTTTATGAGACCTCTGTGGAGCCATCTGTTTCCCTGAAAGGACTAGGCTGGTCAAGGCCATGTGTGAAGTCCCTGGGATAGGGGATAAGGACACAGATTTGGAAACAGGCTGTGTAGACTTATAGTCCCTTTTCAAGGGACCACAAGCAGAGAGAACGGTGGCCCTCATAGCTGGATGGTGACCTGGGCCTGGGAGAGCAGAGGAATATGAGTATCCTAAACATGGGACCTTTCTGCCCCCTGGTGTTCACTGTGAGGAAAGACAGTGGTAGTCATCACCCCAGGAAGTCACCTGAAAGTCAGAGGTAGGCTCCATCATGTCACCAAGCTCCCCGGGGCTGAGGACTTGATGGGTAGGTGATCCAGCAAGGGAGAAGCCCACAGTTCAGCAACACTTGTAGGGCTGAACTGTGGGCTTGACACCCAAGGGCCGGCAGGACTAGAACACTAGAGGGCACCACTTGCTGCTGCTTCTGCCTGCCTACTACTGCCAGAGAAAAGAAAGTGGCTGGAAATCAGCACTGGAAAAGCTTCTAGCCTACCCACAACTGATTTCTATCCAGGCGGAGAGCCAAAGAAGCTTCTGCCAGCTGACCGCCTCAAACATTACCTACCTAGAACTCACTTTCTGCTCCAGCCCAGCTGCATTTGACCTGCTTTTCCATTCCTTTTTCTCAGGATTCAAATGGAACTTGCATTTCCACATTCCATTATTCCTCTCTGTCCTGCAAGCATGGGAACTCAGATCCTGGGTGTGGGACTCTCTTTTCCTCACCCTACACTCAATCAGTCCCCTGAAACCCTAGTCAGCCCTGGTCATATGCCCTGTATTCCAGCCAATCTTTCTGTGACTCTGAACCCCTCAACTTGGGCTGCTCAATGGAGTCACTGAGGGTTGCCTGTGTCCCATCTCTGAGATCCTGATTTAGTGGACTCAGGGTTTGGCTTTAAAGGTTTTCCCTGGGTTTCTATTGTGTAGCCACATGGTTGAGAACTGCAGTTCATGGCCAAGATTCCACACCCAGAATATCCTGGAGTTTATGAAGCTCAACCAAGTAAATTATACTAGGGTTGTCTTTACTGTCATCCTTGTAGAGGACATGAACAACATCCAAAGCTAATAATCAGGGCAGAGGCCATATGTCCCAAGGTGCCCCAATCCTGCTTTGCCGAGCTCAATGAGAAAAATCATCATTAAGCCACCTTATCTCTGCATGCTCCTGAGATTTTCATACTGATGTATCCTAAGGGCAGATGGAACCAGTGAGGCACAGGATGGACCATCAGACAAGTAGAGCTAGCTCCCCTGAGCTTCTGGTCATGCTTTCCCAAGGCGAACAAACCGCAGGTGCCTTGCCTGCTCTGGAGAAGGTCTGCCAAGGCACCTGGAGTGTGCATGAAGGTCCCTGCTAGGGAGTCTTGGCCTACCTTGCACTGGTCGAGTGGTGTGTCCTCTGTCTCTCGGAAGACCACACTGAAGGAGATGCTCTTGGGGTCAGAAGAGAAGACCCAGCTGATGGTGAGGCCAGGCTCGGTCACGGTGATGGGGATCAGGCTGTAGGTGCTAGACCTCACAAACAACTCCCTGTTGCCCTCCCCAAAGTTGGTGATCTCATCTACTGTGAGTGGTAATTTGATCCTAAAATAAAAATGCAGAGGAACCTGATCCACTGGATTTTCTGAAGCTCTGAGACAGCTGAAGATTTGAGACTCTTGAGAGGGTAAGCCTGGGCCCCCTGACCAACATATTTATAAGACACTTGACAAAAGCTATGTTCTCAGTGGTTACTACATGGCTGGCATGGTTTAGATACTGAGTCATAGCTGTGAAAGACACAGTCAGTCCTTGCCCATGTGGGGCTGAAAGCTTGTGGAAACTATGTGGTCAGCTTGACTTGCTTTGGGTTTCTCATGGGCAGGACGTGAGGTATCCCTTCTGCTGCTCTAATGGCTCCTTTGATCCAATTAGAAATACCTCCTACCTCTACCACAGTTCTTTTTGGGATAAGGGGGTGGGGCTGAATGGGAATGGTGTGTGTGTGGGGGTGTTGCTCACAGAGCACTCTGACCTCCTATAGGCAAGTGTCCTTGGTTCACTTTGCAGGGCTGGGGGCAGGTGGCAGTGGTGTGATGGTGTGAGGCTGAGCCACCACTGCTGTATGACTGGGCAAGATGACAAGGATGAACCTGACTAGGTAGGGAATCTGCAGCTGCCTGATTCAAGGCTAACTGAGTGATGTTCCCTCTATTCCCCAGTCACTCAAAGGCAGCACGGATAACCCAGGATTAAGGAGACGGGGGCCTTCAAGGCAGGGTTGAGATTTTGGCTTAGTTCCTCAATAGTGAAGCAAGCATTCCCTCTTCGCTCCACAATCTTTAATGTTGTCACAATGGTCATGTGAGGAAGGCATGGTTGTTCCCATTCTATACATGTGGAAAATAACACTCAGAAAGACTGTAAAACCCAACCCAGGTTATGCAGGTCTGATCCAAGGCCATTACCTTTCTACTGCATGTGCCTGTCTTACCAGGAGAACTTATATTACTGTCTCCTTAACATAGGAGGAAGATAAAGCCCAGAGAGGTTAGGCAATTTGCCTGGGGTTGAACAAGGAAGTGTTGAGAGATTTCTACTAGCCTCCAGAGCCATGAGGATGGTCAATGAGAAGAGCAGTGATTAGAAAATGAAAGGTCTAAGGGCTGGAGGGATAGTTAATACTATCCACTGCTCTTGAAAAGGGCCTGAGGCACGTTCCCAGTACCCATGTCAGGTGGCTCACAACAGCCTAAAATTCTAGCTCCAGAGGATCTGATGCCCTCTTTGTGCCTCCAAAGGCACCTGTACTCTTGTGCACATACCACACACAGGGATACACATATACATAAAAATAAATCTTAAGAAAAACCCTAAGCCCTCTAAAAATATATTACTTACCTTTGTGAGAGTTTTATTCCATATGTTATTTGAGTTAATTATTAATTAAAAGCTTGTCCTCAATATTTATAATTTAAGAATCTGAGACTAGGTGGGAAACATCACAGTATCACTGACTGACAGACTATCCTACTGACACTGGGTCACTTCATAACCTTATACTCCACATTTTCCTATACCAGTCACCTGAACTGTGCCTTACATATCTCATCTTGTAGACATAATCCACTCTGTGAGAGGATAATACCCAATGTCTTCAAAGGAGATGCCAACTGTACTCTAATATAAACTTAAAAGACTCATATCACAGCATCAGTTTTCCCTAGGAACTGAAGAGATCCTAGCTTACATGAGCCAAGGGAACCAACAAAGCCTCCGTGTTCTGAGATCACCTACTCTTAGCACGTGTTCAGATTGTTGTGTAATGCACCTGTTGAGCTTTGTTTGCCGTCACTCTTTAAAGAGGCAGAACCCGCTTCAAAGCATCACCACACTCCATGCCTACCATTCTCATGAAGCTGAGCTACTCTCTGCATCCTCTTCATAATCCTCTCAATGATTTGCCTTGGATTTCATTTGTTGGAATACTAATTTTTCTTAGCTCTTCGAAGGTAGGTTTTCAAAAAGCTTTATTATGAACATTTTCAAACATTTCCCTGTTCTTCCCTAATAAGTAGAGCTAAAACACCTGGAAACACTTCAGTAGACAATTCCAGTCTAACTGAATGGCAGAAAAGGCAGGCACCTGGCCAGAGACCTAGGACTGGAGGGAAACCAGAACAGCTGGACAGTGCTGTCTACACACAAGTCAAAACTACTTGTCATATTAAGAACCAGGAAAGTCAGCAGACGCCAACACTGGCATTAGCCAGATGTTGGAACTATCTGATAGGCCATCACAGACATGTCTCAGTAATCATTTCAAATGTGCTTGGGATAAGCTGGCCTTGCACTTAAACTCATGATCCTCCTGCCTCTTGTGGGCTGAGACTGCAGGCATGCACTATCATGCCTGGCTAAACATAGTGCTTTTTTTCTTTCTTTTAAAATTATATTTGAGAAAGGGTCTTATTATGTTGCCCAGGCTGGCCCTGACCTTGAGATTCTCTTGCCTTAGCCTCCCAAGTACCGAGACTATAAGCATCTGAGTGACACCGTGCTTGATTCAAATACTCTTGCAACAAAGAAAAAGTAAAAATGAAGAAAACCACCAAAGAAAGAGAAGATTTAAGAAAGAAATCAAGTGAAAGTTTTAGGACTAAAAAGTCTAACTAAAGTTTTAGAAATATCACTGATGGACTCAAGTGTAAATGAATATGACTGTTAAACTTGATAGAAAAATAAAGATTGGAACAACACTCAGAACAGAGGCTGGAGATGGGGAGAACAGAACCTTAAGGATCTGCAAGTAACATCAAACTAACAACCAGCAAGCAAATCAATCACTGGAGTTCCCAAAGGAGAGGGCAAAGAACACATCTGAAAAATACTCAAAGAAGTGATGGCTAAGCACATCTCAAATTTGGTGAAAGGCACAAGCCTCCAGATCCAAGAACTAAGTAAAACTCAAATAGGAAAAACCCACAGAAATTCATGCTAAGCTCTATCCTAGTTAAATTTCTTTCCAATATATATTTTTACTGAATTTTTATGCATTTCCCGGACAATACATCGTAATCATATTTAGACCCTCCCCCCCTCCTATCTATTCCTCTTCCCATAGCCCGCCCACTCCACTAGATTTCATGCATTCTGTCATATCTGTTAAGTCTATCAAGTCAAGTTTGTGTGCCCAGATGTCCCCCGGTGTGAGTCCATCCACTGGAGCCTGTTCAGCCTGTCTAGTGTTACTCCCTTAAAGAAGATCAACTCTCCCTCACCCAGCAGTGAGCAGCTGTCAATAGTTCTTGGCCAAGGTTGGGGCCTCCTGCTCATTTCCCCAGTTCTATGTATGGGTCATGTGCATGCTATTTCTATTGTTGTAAGTTCATATGAGCAAGTTCCCATAAGCCTGAAAGACTGTTTCCTTGTTGTCATGTACCACCCCTGGCTCTTACAATCTTTCTGTCCCTGAGCCCTAGGTGGGTGAGGTTTAATATAGAGTCCTAGCCAGGGACACTCACTCTACAGTCTTTATTCTCTACACTTTGGCTAGTTGTGTCCTTCTGTGTTAAATGCCCTCTGTTGTATGGGGAAACTTTGCTGGTAAGCATTAAGAGATGCATTAGTATTCTTTCTACCTCCTGTTCTACTATATTCTGTGTGCCACAGATGTAGAGGTCCTAATTAAATTTCTAAAAACAAAAGACAGAAAAACTTGTGACAGCAGCCAGAGAAAAATGATGCATTATCTTTTGGGGGAATACCAGTTTGAAGGATAGAGGATTTTTCAATTAGAACCATGGAAGCTAGAAGAAGCCACACCATATTTTTCAAGTGCTAAATGAAAACTGTCTTATCTAATCCCTAAAAGATTTTAGGGTTACCTCTGCAGACAGGGGAATATTAGAGTAGCAAAAAGCCCCATTTTCAAACTACACACACACACAGAGAGAGAGAGAGAGAGAGAGAGAGAGAGAGAGAGAGAGAGAAAGTACATAAAGTTGTCAGAAAAAACTGATGGGGAGATAAGGGAGGTGTTGGAGGGCAAGGAGTGGGCATGGATTTGACCAAAACACCTTATATGCATGTATGAAATTCTCAATAAAGTTTTTTTAAAGTTAAAATAAAATAAACCTGAATACATCAAGGTAACTGCATTTACCAGTTAAATAAAAATGAAGCATCAATTAAAATCAAACAACAACAAAAAAAACTGGGCTTGTGAGATGATTTACTGGGTAAAGATTCTTGTTAAGCCTGATGACCTGAGTCCAATCCCCAGGACCTGCATAGTGGGAAGGAGAGAACCAACTCCAGCAAGTTGGTTCTCTGGCTTTCATATGTGTTCTGAGCACACATTAATAAAAAATTTAAAGTTCCTTGCACAGTCCAATGTCTTGAAGCATTTCTCCCATTTTCTTCTGGTAGTTTCATGTTTTGGTTACCTTTAATCCACTGAGTTGATTTTTATGTATGATGAGAAACATGGATGTGAATTAAGTTTTTGCATGTAAATTCCTGTTTCTCCACCACCAAATATAAAAGAGATTGTCCTTGCTCGAACATTAAAAAACAAAAACAAACAAAAAACCCAAAAAACATGGAAGCCAGAAGAAGCCATACCACATTTTTTTCAAGTGCTGAATGAAAACTGTCAACCATGAATGCTGTATGTAGCAAATCACCTTCAGCTGTTTTGTTGACAGCCTGAGAGGGCAGCACAAGTGATTCTATAGAACAGACCATTCCTACCAGACAGGTTGGTTACACCAAATACATACAGTCATCTTTGGAGAACGCTTCTGTTTGTTTGGTATGTAGGTTAACACTATAGATCAAACCTGTTTGCTTATTTCTATTTTCTCAATTTTCTGCAACAAAAGTGCATTACTCTTAGAATAAAACAATTTTTAAAAAGGAACACAGGGGCGGGGAAGCAAGACTACAAAGCTTCATAGGAACTTTTCAGTGACTTTGATTTCTTTATGATAGCATATTATTTGTCAACATCCAAGTACTATGCACTTTAAAAAGTGAGTCTTTTTTTAAAAAATTAAGAATTTTATTTATTGATATGTGTATGAGTATATGAAAGTGTGTGCCTGGTGCCTGTGGAAGCCAGAAGAGGGCATTGGATCCCTGGAACTGGAGCTGAGGACAGATGTCAGCTGCCATGTGGATGTTGGGAATCAAACCTGGGTCCTGTGGAAGAGCAGTAGATGCTCTTAATCACTGAGCCATCTCTCCAGTCCCCAAAACGTGAGTCTTAATGTTCATAAATTATGCCTTAAAAAGTACAAATTGGTGCAGTGAAAACAGACATCAGGGTTAAAACTGTGAGGCCTGAAACACTTAGGAAGGGAAATAAAAGGGCTTACACTTAGGAATGAGGTAGCCAAGCTGACCAGGTAAGAAGGACAGGGCCCTGAGAAAAAAGTCAGTCTCAGCAGGCCCTGACTGGTCCCCACTCACGTGAAGCCCTTTCTGAGTCCCCCCTCATATATTCTTGCTTCTAAAGCAGCTAACTGCAACAGACTTCTACCTATTTCAGAAAGGAGAAGACTCCAGGCTGACCATAGGGGAAGAGGGATATTACAAAGAATGCAAATTTCTTTTATCAAAAGATCACAGGAATGTGACCTCTGTAATGCTATTTTGTAATCTCCCCTACCTGGTAAAACTTTTTGTTTACCAAAGGACCTGATGAAGTCCTGCACCTATGGCTCAGAACAGCCAACTCTCTTCCCCCTTTTCTTAATTTTCCTGGCTTTGATTCTTTTAAAACCAGTCAACCTTGAAAGACTGTGAGGTCAGACTCCAGTCAATGGGGAAAAGACACAGTAGGATAAAAACCTATTATATTTCTTGCTCCATACTTGCATACTACCTGAATGAGGCAATGCACTCTTTTGCAAAAGTAAAAGCTGTCTTGTCATTACTTTCATTTTGTCTGTGTGTTCTTTGCATGGTGTTGGTGGGGTCCCTGGTCACAAGATTTTATTTCCAACAACAAAGAGCTGGATATGAGGGAACCAAGAACTACAACCACATCTTGGTAGCTGAGATAGGAGTTAGCTCTCCACAAGCAGATACAAGAGTCCATGGTAGTCCCATAAACTGGCGGGCTTGGGAGGAGCTCAGAGGTAGAGCTCTTGCCTAGCATGCATGAGGCCCTAGGTTCAATCTTAAGAACAAAAAAGCCCCACCAAAAACTTAAAAAATGTCTAAAAAAAAGTGAGAACAAAGAGGAGACTCTGCCAAAGTCTGAGACCAGTAACAACTACAAAGTTGATGACTAGAGGGCTGTAGCCAGCAGATAGCCAAGGCCAAGAGCTAACAAAGCTAGTCAGAGATAGACAGGAGGCTTCAAAATGTGTCCACTCCCCTAACTGGGTGAGCAGCACTGGATCATCTCCCCAGCTGGGCCAGAGAAACATGCAGACTGTGGGGTTCCTCAACTGACCTGGCCTGTGTATGCTCAGAGAATTAACCAATCTCATAGAAATGATCTCAGTCTGTCTAGTTTCTGCCATAAATCGTGTGTGTGTGTGTGTGTGTGTGTGTGTGTATGTATGTGTGTAAACCCTAGGCAAATAGTTCAAAATTTTTTTCTTCTCAGCACTTCTCCCATTATTGGGAGTTTCTATGAATTTTCTCACTTTTCCTTAATTTTCCTCTAAAGCCTGCTTTTGCTTTTCTTATTCCTACATGTGTCTGCATCTTTTATCAAGAGCCATTGCCTCTAGGGGACTTTTGGTGATGGTTGACTGTCTGACACCCGAGTCCCTGAGTGTCTGAGTTCCTGAGTCATATACACCTGGACTGAGAAGGGCCCTGTCATGCTCAAAGATCTACATCACCCACTGGTGGCAAGACAGAGTCCTGGGTGGGGCCAGTTCTGGCTTTGAGAGGGTCACTATCTGTCCAGCAGACTCTTCTCCTGGGATTCCTCCCCACCAGCTCTAGAAGCCTGCCACTTACATCAGCTCCCCTGACTTCAGCAAGCAGATTTCAGCATCCTGCCCCATGGGCATGTCGTCATTGTCCTCAGGGGTTAGTGAGTTTGAGGTGGTATCCCTGAAAAGTCACAAAGGAGAACACAGTCATTAGCCATGAGCATACAAACAGCCTTGGTCAGAAATGGGGAGGGCCAGGGTGAAGACAACAGGGGTGCAGAGTGCCTGGGAGGAGTGAGTGTGAATATAAACACTGCCTCTGGACCCAACAGCACTGGCCCCAGGTCTCACAAACAGGGCTGTTCCTCCAAGGCAGGGCCAGTGCCAGAATCAGATACCTCGAATGCACAACAGCACAACAAAATGGTCTGGGTCTAGAAGACGGGTCAGAGGCACATACAAAGGGGGTAATGGAATACACACTTCCTCTTTCCCAATCCTATGCATCATCAAGACAGCAGTAGGAGCTGCCTTGGCATTATGACTGCCCAAGTTCCCAAAGTATGCTGTAGACCAGACCTTGCACAGGGAGCAAGGGTCACATATAGCCATCCCCTGTTAGGAAATCAGTGTATTTAGAAAGTCCTTGTCTAGCTATTTCCCCCTAAGTGGAACATTTTCTCCTGGAGGGGAGAGCTCATGAGACTCACTAAGCTAATGATACTTCTAAGACTCAGATGCTCATTGAAGTTATAAGACTCAAAAGGCCCCTCCCCAAGGTTATAAACACAGTAAACAATGGCTTAGGGGAGAAGACTTTCTTCATAGAGCTGTTTGAAAGCTGTGCAGGGAACTCCAGGGATGCAGCTTTTGTGAATCCCTCACCTATGCGCTGGGCTGAGCTTTCTGGTGAGGTAGCTAAGTTATCCAAGCTCCTATAGTTAACACCAATAAACTCATCAAGCTAGATGGATGGAATCGTTTCTTTGGTCTGTTGGCAGTCTCCTATCTGATGAGTTCCTGTATTAATCTGACCATGGAACATGTTGAGCACCCATTGAATTACTGACCTTCAAATCACAATAGCAGATCAAACTCCTAGTATGCCATGGATGCAGACACAGGAGCCCTAGCTGGGGCCAGAATGAGATAACTTCATTGCAAATCAGCACATTCCCACCTGGGACCCTATTTCTGATATGGCTAGTAGCTCTCATGGATCTCAGAGTCTGCCCAGCTTCAGTCGACAACTCTGCCCAAGAGGGCACCTAGGTCCAAGAAAGAAAATGGCTTGCCCCTTGCCACATGAAGGCCTTAGTCAGGAAGGTCTCCTGTCCAGCATGCCTTCTCCAGATATAATAAGGCCTTCTCAACAGTTCTGGAGGGCTCTCTCCAAATGTCAGTATGTCTCAAACTGTCCCCATCCACTTCTGTCCCTCCAAATAAAGGCTCCTGCTGGCCTGGACTGTAACACATCCACTCCAGCCTTGTTTGCTTCCAAAAGCCCTGTAGCACTTTTGGGAACTCAGACCTTTTCCTACCCCCTCCTCTACTGCTGAATGTCCCTTGAGATGACACTGTACTGTTACAGTAATAAAAAAAGGCTCCCTCAGGCCCGGAAAACCCAACATTCCAATTCATCCAGATCAATGACCCTTAGGAAGAGGAGTTCATTTAAGTGGAATAACTAGTGCATTAATGAGACTGTGAATGTTTCTTACTAGGAATCCCCGCCCCTGCAGTTGCTTACTGGCCAGGCAGCGGTGTAACTTTGTAAATCTTCCTGATTCTCATCTTTTCTCTTTTCTAACTATGCTTTTTCCCTAACACTCTGAGTTACCTCAACATTTTGGGTTTCTTTACTCTAAGATTTATTTGTAATTGTGTGTATGTGTGTGTATGTATACACATGTCTGTTCATGTGAGTGCAGATGCCCTGGAGCTGAAGTTATAGGTGGTTGTGAGCCACCCAATGTGGGTGCTGGGAACTGAACCTGGAACTATTCCTCTGGAATGGTACACTCTCTTAACCACTGAGTCATCTCTCCAGCCTCCTTACTCTTTAAAGCTTCCCTTCCCATCATGGGGCTGCTAGTCTGCCATGAGTCTAACCTCCATGCTGACTTTAAATGGGCACGGCTTCTTTTTTTTTTCCTCTCTCTTCTATTCTCCCCCTCAGGGCAGATACCGAGATTTAGAATTTACCTGCCCTGAAGCTTCTTTTCAGCTCTAATAAAACTGCCCAAGTTTTGTTTGAACCCATTTCAAAATTCTTTTATTAATGAGACTAAGAAGAACCTCAAGAGAGGACCCTATTTTCTCCTGTATCAGTACCAGGCACCTTATATGGGTCTCCCCACAAAAGGCCGGAATATGTGGCTATGCCTCACAAGATATCATTTAAAGCAGAACTGTCAAAGTCAACTGACCATGGCAAGTGTCCAGAACATGATTAAAGGCCCTGTTCTGAACCTTCAGGCCCAGTAGGATGGCGTGTCAGTAAAATGGTGTGCTTAGCAGAGTGCATGGTTCAGGGCAATATGGCACCTCCTTCCAGAGGGAGAACATTAATGTCCATCCTGATGTTGATGAAAGCCAAAATAAGAATTGGGGACATGTTCTGGAGGCAGGAGGCCCCTGAGAGGTAGGTACTGGGTTAGCAATCCGCACTAAAGTCCTACTGCAGCTGAACTCCAAGAAAAATCTCTCAGACAAAAGCAGACTCTGCTGCCAATCTGCAAAGCCTCTGTGCTGGGAGAGGTCTCTGTCCTTAAGATGTGGTTCCTGACAAGCCCTGCAGCCTGGTCACCTTCCTGGCTAAGCAAGGTCCACTTACTCTCACGCTCACTGGCTGCCCCATACTGGGCCACTGGGTGAGTAGTCTGTTTTGATGGTTCTGCTGCATCCCAGGCAGCCTCAGCACTTCGTTGTTCCCTTTCCATCCCAGCCCCAGCCCCACCTCTGAACCTCTCCCTGCCTAACACCCCCTCCTTGCTGCTCTTCCAGCCACTGGCTTCCAGAGCCCCACACCTGAATGACGGACACACAAAATCACAGAACCTTAGCCCAAATGAGAAACAGCTCAGGAGACCATCTTGTACAGTTCCCACTTGATGGCAAGGAAGCAGAGGTCCAGAGCAGAGTGGATGGGCCTATAGCTACTCATTTCTTCTGTTTTTATCCTGTTCACATATGAAATATAAAAAATGAGATAAAGAAAAAAATAGAGAAACTCTGAGCATAGGGACAAAAAGTTTTGCCCACTTTTCATGCATCTGAAATGGTTCTCATCCATTATTTCCGTCCCTTCCATCAGCCTCCCTTCTGACCACATGTGATTGCCTGCAGGTAGGTGATTCAGAGTAGCTTCCTTGGCCCTGCACGAGGGAGACGGTAGTTGGTGGGAATGTGTCCTCAAAGGTAATGGCCACAGACATAAGATTTCCTTCTCAATGGCATTTCAAACTGTGAGCTATGATTCATTTAGTGAACTGAGCCTATGAATTTACTAGGTCATGACTGACATAAAAAAGAAATAAAACAGAAAAAAAATAAAACATACAATGCATGTGGGGATAAGCACTGTTTCATAGGCATATTTTAATGTACATATATGCACACTTAGCTAGTTATGTTACATTCATTAAAAGGCAGAGCAAGTCTGATGGTGGGAAACAGAGGCAGGGCCACTAGGGGGCACTCTGTCTCCTTCTACAGCCATGCCCTTTCTTGTAGTTTTCTCAGAAAGCAGCCCATAAAACCATGTTCATAGGTGAACTTTCTCGTCTCCTCGTTCCAGGAGTAGGGTCTACCACTAGGCTCTGTGGATTCTTAGGGTAGCATGCCCACTCCACTGATGTGGTCACCTTCTAAGGGGATCATCCAAGTGTTCCTGGGAACCCCACTGCATATACAGCCCATGCTTAATAAATGTCTGCATTACGAGCCTCGGTGTTAGGGACTTTCCTATCCCAAATGCCCTCAAAGGAAGATACAATCAACGCTACAGTTTACTAAAGAAGAAAGACGTGAACAAACAAGGCAGAGGCTGAGCCCTGCCACTGCTACCACCACAAGGTCATCAGGAACTCATACCTCCCTGGGCAAGGGGTCATGTGGGTAACTCTAGCTAGGTCTCTGTGGCATTTCTCTGTCACAAATCTAAATATCAGAACTTTCTTTTCATTTTATTACTGGAGAACAATTCTCTAGACTGCTAGGAACAGTGACTTCGCCTGAGGAATGCCTCTTGCTGATGGTCTTTCAAGGTCCCCCTCCATCTTGTCACACTGAAGCAAGAATCAGGAATGCTGCTTTGCTGAAACCCAGGTTCCAGCAAGGGATTGGTGGTCTTCAGGTCAGACTGCAGTGCCTAACAGTACCCACCGGCCACAGGAACAGCCTATGCACTCACCCATCTGTCCACTGCTCACTGCATTGGTGCAGGAGGAAGCAAGCAAGATCCGATGTACACGGAAACATCTAGCACATGGCCGGGCTTATGGCAAAATCAAATGCTAGTTCTAGATCCTGGTCCTGTTCCCAGTTCCTTACTTTCAGGGTAATTTCCCAGAAGGGTCGGCAATGCTGGGTCATGAACACTAAACCAGAATGTATTAAGATCACAATGTTAGTTTGGAGAGATGGCTCAGTGATTAGAGCACTGAGCCAGTGCTCTTGCAGAGAACCTGGGTTCGTTTCCCAGCACCCACATGGCAGCTAACAACTGTTCTTAACTCCAGTTGCAGCTCCCTTTCATGGGCTTTGCTCATATGTGGTGCACTTGCATACATGTAGGCAAAACACTCATACATGTAAATTTTTTTAAATGAATAAAATAAAAAAAAAAAAGATCACAGTACCTACCATTTGAGAGTCAGATCTAGGAAGGCAAACCTGGATAGTTCTAGTTAAGATAAGCATGGTAGGTGGGCACCGCCTGTCAGATGCCCCTGTGGGGGCTCCACCAGGCCTTCCAGCACAACCTAGAAGTGACCTGTTTCCTTATTCTGGGAGTGATCAGAGACCTAAGCTTGTATCTCTGAATCACCAGTTATCCTGGCTTTGGTCTGTGTCCTCTTCTTTAAATTGTGGTAACACCTGCCCTTGGGTCCACTGTGAGACAGCTGCAGCACATGTTGGAGCTACACGCACACACAAAGCCCAGGCCATAGCCTGGACTTTTCATTGGCCTGGACCCAAAATGTTCCAAAAGATGTGACTAGTAAATGAAATAATTTTAATGGACAAAGTCTGCCATCTGACAAGAATCAAACCTACTTACTGCTCTCCTTTAGTTTACAGATGGAGACCCTATTAGGTCTTGACAGCAGAGTAAGTGCCTAGCCAGGAAAAAAGGGAGTGTATGGCATCAGAATCCTGCTTCATATCTGACCCTCAAATTAAGAGGGCCGAGTTTGCTGTGTAGATTCTGCCTGTGGGATGGAAGGAGGGGAGGTCACTAGCCGAGGGCTCTTAAATACTCGACGGAAACACAGACCACATCACAGAGAAGCAGAGGCAGACCTTGAGCGAGCAAGCAAGCTCCTCTCTGGGACAAAGCAACCGGTGCTTCTCTACGGTGAGTCATTGTCTTCTTTTGCTGGGGCTCTCCTATTCCTGCCTACAGCACGGCCAGTGGACATGGCACAGGCTACAAAGTTCCGCTCCCATCCCATCATTGTCATGGCTACTACGAGGGTTAGAGAACGGTGGAAACTACTCTCCTGGTTCCTACAGTGCTTGTAAGCGGATGGGACAGGTATAATGGTGTATAATGGCCAACCCAGGGACATAAACAGTCTCATTACTGTCCCTATTTGATCACCAATAATTTTTCTCTTTTCATTTCCTTTGTATCTTACAAAACGAGCAATTATTTTCAATTATCATTAATTTTCTTTTTTCAGTATCAATTGTGTCGCTGCAGACACTCTGGAAACTATAGAAAAAAAAAGGAGAGGAAATAATATTTTGAAATTATACCAGCTAGAGGCAAATGCTGCTAGAGTTTGGTCCTTTATTTTAAAATTGTAGTCAAAAATATAAATTTTATTACATATCACAGGCTCTCAAGGGTCTATAGAATACTGAATTTATGAAACCCTAGAATTGCAGGTGTGTGGGCATTATTTCTCACGGAAGGTCTACAGCTTTTAAGAGATTCTCAGACAGGTTTGTGGTACAAAGCTAAGACGCCAGCTGTAGCAGCAGCGGCTGCCACCCCAGCACTCAGAGGTGGAAGGAGAAAGGGCGCCATCTAATGTTGATGCAGTAACAGCTCACAAAATGTACTGCAGCTTCTAAAACAGTTAAAAGTGCTCCTTAAATATTTTAGTTACATCTATTTTATGTCTGAGTTACGATGATCAGGCTTTCACATTGGGTCCAAAGCTGTATTTTTCATTTTTATAAATCAACATATGGTTTTGATTATAGATAATGTTCTTATCTTTTTGTAAAACGGGCAACGATTTTGTGTGCACATGCATGTGTATGTCAGCTGCATCTGTCTGTGCATGTGTGAGCAAGAAGGCAGCCGTCCCTGAGTGTCTCTCCTCAGGCACTGTGTACTTTTTTTTAATTGTGATAAGTCCTGGAACTGGCCAAGAGACCAGTGGGCTGGTGAGGGCCAGGGATCTCTATGTCTCTGCCTCCCAGAGCTGGGGTTAGAAGTGTTCACTAGCTGTTGTATGTGAGTTTGGGGGACTGAACTCAGGTTCTCATGCTTGCAAGGCAGGCACTTTACCAATAGCCCAGCCCCCATCTGCCAGCATAACATTAAGTTTACCAATGATCATTTATGACTCTGCACATTTTTAGAAGAGATATGTAATGCTAGTGTTAGGATCCAGCAAATATAAAACAGGACAATAAAAAATCAAGTATGAGTCAGGATAAAAACAGTGAGCTGGCCCATACTCTTAGGAAAGCAAAGCTGTTTCATATTTCAAATGCTGAAAAATAAATTGTCCCTATGTGAGTCAATAACACATATGTACCACTACCTGGCCTTTGCATTCTAGTACCTAAGAAAGCTGTGGGGCAGGGTGTCCACTACCAACCTATCATGCCTGGAGATCTAGTCTTGAGGCATAAGTGTGGACTATTTACTGAGTCCTCTAACTGAAAAGTCAAGGTCCTTCCTTATTGGTGAGAAAGGGCATTGGCCCTAGGGAAGACAGAGGCTGCAAAGCATCAGAGTAGACACTGTTTCCACTCAGGACACAATTTCAGGGTAAGAAGTGACTGCATGGGTTAGAAAGGGAAGATGACGTCATCTTTCACATGCTCTTATCTGGCCAGGGATATTTTGGTTTGGTAATTCTCTGAGGTTCTGCCCAAACACTTGTTCTTCTTAAGACATCTTATGGAACCCACAGTGGTGAGATATGAACCCAGGAGAGTGGAAATGAGTCAGTGAATGGTGAGTGGCCAGTGGCAAGGTTTGCCTGGCACTCTTAGGCAAAGGCTGCTGCAGCTACCCCTACACCCATGCCATAGGTTACGTCACCCTATGTCCCACTTCTGGTCCTTGGTAAGGTCACAGGGCAGAGCAGGGTCAGAGGGAAGTGACAGCCATGGAGGATGAAGCCCTGAGCAAGAAAGGCAGCCATTTGATCTTTGCTACAAGTCCTATGCCCACTCAAACTGGGTTTCCATTTGTGAAGAGACCCACAAGACCTGAACTGCTAATTACAGAAGCTAAGACAATGTCTCCTCCTGGGGACACACACCTTCCTAGAGATTCCTGAGGATGAAGGAATCCTTGGGATCTGAGGTTGTCAGAGATGTCATAAACTGTTAAAGAGATGATAAGGGGGAAGTTTGGGTTGGGGAATGAGGAAAACACTTCAATTCCCTGGTGACAAAGCCAGCTCCATGCAACTGAGGAAAAATAAACAGGAAGTACTGTGCTGTCAGAAAGATGCCTCTTGTCACCTCACAAACCCCCATGGACACCAGGAAGGGAGCCTCCTGGAAGGGGCACTTGGTGACTTTCATGTAATGGAGCAGGGAGTGGTGGGCACTGGTGAGGTCCAGGTAGATGGAGAAAGGCCCTCCTGTTAGACACAGTGCTATGCTTCCAAAAGGCTACTGTGTTCGCTTGACAGCACAGTGGCTTTATTTTCTAGAACTGAGCATAGGGTTTTATGGGATGTGCATGGGAAAAGGCTGGGTGAGATTTTGAGATTTTATTTTTTTTGAGACAGGGTCTCCCTGTAGCTCCAGCTGTCCTGGAACTATGTAGACCAGGCTGTCCTTGAACTCACAGAGATCCCCCTGCCTCTGCCTCCTGAGTGCTGGGATTAAAGGCGTGCGCCACCATGCCTGGCCAATTTTGAGATATTTTTAGGTTTAATGAGGAGTACTTCATCCTGGTTGAGCAGTTCCCCCTACAAACTGGCCATCTTCAGACACTGGTATTACTAAGCATGAGGGTGAGTAGGGTTAGACACGGGCAAGTTGTCTCCTAAATATAGATAACAAGGACAGTGGGGCGTCAAGTGTCAGCTCCAAATATAACTCCTGAGTTCTGCCTCACAGATGTTCACTGGAACAGACATCATGGAGGAGTACGAAATGGACACATGGCTCTTCAACAATACCAGTGACAACAGCCAGGAGCATGAGCGCTTCCTGAAGTTCAAGGAGGTCTTTCTGCCCTGCATGTACCTGGTGGTGTTTGTCTTTGGCCTGGTAGGAAACTCTTTGGTTTTGATCATATACATCTTCTACCAGAAGCTGAGGAGTCTGACAGATGTGCTTCTGGTGAACCTGCCTGTGGCTGACCTGGTGTTTGTCTGCACTCTGCCCTTCTGGGCCTATGCAGGCACCTATGAGTGGGTCTTCGGCACGGTCATGTGCAAAACCCTGCGTGGCATGTATACTGTGAACTTCTATGTGTCCATGCTCACTCTCACCTGCATCACGGTGGATCGTTTCATAGTGGTAGTCCAGGCTACCAAGGCCTTCAACCAGCAGGCTAAGTGGATGACCTGGGGCAAGGTCACATGCTTGCTCATCTGGGTGGTCTCCCTGCTGGTTTCTTTGCCGCAGATCATCTATGGCACCGTGGAGCATTTTGACAAGCTCGTCTGTCAGTACCACAATGAGGCGATTTCGACTGTGGTTCTTGCTACGCAGATGACTCTGGGTTTCTTCTTGCCACTGTTCACCATGATTGTGTGCTACTCAGGCATCATCAAGACCTTGCTCCATGCACGAAGCTTCCAGAAGCACAAATCTCTAAAGATCATCTTCCTTGTAGTGACTGTGTTCCTGCTGACCCAGACACCCTTCAACATCACCAAGCTAATCCAGAGCACAAGCTGGGAATATTACACCATGACCAGCTTTCATTATGCCATCCTAGTGACAGAGGCCATTGCATACCTGCGGGCCTGCCTTAACCCCGTACTGTATACCTTTGTTGGCCTAAAGTTCCGGAAGAACTTCTGGAAACTTGTGAAGGACCTTGGGTGCCTTCCTTACCTGGGGGCCTCAAGTCAGTGGAAGTCTTCTGAGGACAGTTCCAAGACTTGCTCTGCCTCCCACAATGCAGAGACCACCGTCATGTTCCAGCTGTAGGCCTGGCCAGGCTTGGAAAAGGTGGCATCAGAATTCTTAGGAGCATGTGGATGTGATGATCAAGGCTTTGCTTACAGCACATGCATTGTCACAGGGAAGTCACTGAACTGGTATGCAAAGCTTCTCAGATATGAACACACCCTATTCTTAGCACTAGGCCTAATGCTCAAAGGGGACAGCTTAAGATTTTTAAGCACTTTCCTCCTTCCATCCCCAAGAGGATGATGTGTGACTCTAAAAGTCTCAGATTCTCTTTTACTAGGCTTGGGGCTGAAGGGTTAAGAGGATAGCACAACCGACACAGTTATTGATGGCAGGTGACATACTGAGCACCAGAGCTCAGAAAACTCCTCTGACTTGGGCAAGCAATGGAGATTTGAGCAACCTCAAAAACAAGTGCTGGTCTGTGTGGCTCAGACCTGTCACCAGGCATCTAACAGGATGAGCCCAAACTCAGTCTTACATAGGGGTTTGACTTTTGGATTGGTGGATGCTTATGTTTGCTCTGAGTAATCCTGAAAGGTAGGAACTGAAATAGGCCAGAATAGATTAGTCAGCTGAGTATCAGTGGTAAGTAAAGTGCTAGTAAAATGTGTAAAGCAGAGCTTAAAACTATAACAAATCTAAGCAGCGATTTCAGAGTGGACTCTGAGTGGACTTTGCTCATGTAAAAAATGTCATTATCCAATGCTTTCCACTCATTTAAAAAATATGCACACACGTGTCACACATTATTAAGTTCATGAGTAAGAAATAAAATCTTTATTTAAGAGTCTTCAAATTGCTTTTATCTTTAGGTATATTCTACTTTAATGTGGTATGCTTGGGACATAAACCAAACAAAACAAATCCTCACAAAAAACCTCAAATCTACCAGTTGCTCCTGGGCTCTGAGCAAAGGAAATGGGTTAAAACTAAACTTCTGGGGAAGTGGTCTATGAAGGAAATGGAATATACCAATGATAACAACTTTGTTCTTTCATGGCTGTTTCTAGCTCCTGCCCAAGATATGGGGTATATTTGTTTAATGTCTATAATATGGCCCTGGAATGAGGTAGTTTTACCAGACTGGATCGATGCTGACTGGATCCTGGTAATTTAGTGAATAGGCCTAAAGGTGCTTTTTGAGGTATCTGTTTCATCAAATCTTCTATCCGTATTTGGAGAGCTACCTCACAATGGCTGATCAGAGTTCACAGGGGGGTAGTTGCCTTGCCTCTAACCACCAGTTGGTGAGACCTAAAACAAATCTCCTAACCTATTTTTTTTTTTTTTTTTGGTGAGACATACCTGGACAGCACAAGTCCTTTAGGGTTGGTTTGAGGAGGACTTAAGAGAACACACACAGAACACCTAGCATGGTGTGCTGGGGATGGAGCTCAGGTGGTAGACTTTTGCTTAGCATGCATAAAATCCTGGGTTTGAACCAGGACTTCATAAAATTGGGCATGATGTAGCCTACCTATAATCTCAGTACTTGAGAGGTAGAGGAAGGAGGATCAAAAGTTCAAGGTCATCCTCAGCTACTGCAAGTTTGAGGCCAACCTGGGCTATATGAGATCCTCTCAAAAAAACACCAAGCCTAATTTGTAAAAGGTGAAAGGGCCCAAAATTGCCAGTAGTTATTCCTTATACGATCTAGTTGACATAAAGTAGAGGCCCTTTATGCCAGCCCTGCCTGAGGGTGAGTGTAGTGACACAGGCTGTTGTGTACTATTTTCTGGAAATGCAGGGTATGCTTATGCATCCTGGGTCAGCAAAGTGTGAGCAGGCCTTGGAGTGCCCAGAAGAGCTTTAGTATGCTTCCATGCTGTATATAGGCCACAAATATCATCAAATGCTTCCTCAGAAAACTAGCCTGCACTGTGCAGGGTGATAAGGTTAACCTTCAGTGTATTCATCTTAACTTGGAACACTGCTATCAGAGGAACCCTGAGTCCCAGGCTTCCCTAACAGGAGGCACAGGTCTTAAAAGGGAAGGAAAATGAGTCAGGAGACAGAGCCCCGTAACACCTGTAAAGGTCCTCTAGAGGGAGACAAGGGTGAGTACTCAGTGTTCAGAGACAGTGTCACTCCAGGGCAAACCTAGAGAGCTTCTCCATGGTTTGACTTACCACCCACACTGTTGGCTGACAGTGTCTCCTTGGGCTATCCCTGACCGGCTCTGAGTTTGTTGAATAAATGAGATGAGATGGGGGAGCCTTCTGGAGCATGCCTACTCCCAGGCTCCCCACAGGAATGCTCATACTGAATTTTATGAAGCTTAAGGGAACCTTGCTTACCTGTTTGCCAGGAAAGCACAGAAACAGAACCTTCCCTCACCTCTCTGCCATCAGTTGTCCCATTTTCTGGGTACCCACCTGCTATATTTGGGGCAGGTAATCAATTCCCCCTGCATCTATCATTAGCAATAAACACTGGCATAGCACATGCTATGGATTCCTCTGTCAGCAGCATTCCAAGTTAAGATGAATGCACTGAAGGTTACATAGTGCTTGTGTCTGGCCTGCATGCCATGTGCAGCATAGGCCAGGAAGCAAAAGAGGTTGCTGCTATGGGCTACATTCTCCCAGAGGTGGTGGAGGTTGCAAGGAGACAGCCGTCTCTTTTCCTTACCTTTTGTTCCCCTCTCTGGTCATACCAGCAGGCCATATCAAAAGCCTGGGTACTATAATGGAGAGGGGTAGGGGCTGGCTGAAAGTGGACCCTGCTTGGATCGATGCTGTCCTGGGTAGGTTTTAGGGTCTGAGAGCAAAAACTGTCTGCTTCTCTCCCGCTGGGCTCATCACTCCTGAAGGTGGTGGCCATGCTCATGGGCTCTGTAGCCCCAGTTAGACACATGGAGGCCATGGACAGTAATGTCATTGAGATGTGAACACACGGTTCCGGGAGCTATCTGACCACCAGGAATTCTTGATGAGTGTCCTGGATAAGGTGATGGTGCCACAGGAAGGCAGACAGAGGAGTTGGGGGTCCAGAAGCTATTGGTCAGCCTTGACTTTAACAGGGTTTTCAAAGTAGGACTCTGGCCAGGTGTCTAGTCCTTCAGGCTCATGGTCACTAACGCCGCCGTTCACAGAAAGCCCTGTACTGCCATTCCCTCTTCTCAGAGGACCAAGTGAGGGCTGCTTCCCTGAAGGCAGTTTCTATGCCCTGAATGCTGGCTTTCATGTAGGTGTCAGACCACAGGGGGCCTTGCCAGTTCTGTGCTCCTCTGTAGACAGAGGCCCTGGGTTAATCTACGCACAATGTGGCTTTTAAACCTTAACCATGATCAATCACCATATCCTGCCCTGGTTTTGTTTCTGAAATAGCAGGCATCGGATCTCTTGGTTGGTGAGTTATCACAGCTCCCCTCAGCACTGACTGTGAAGCCTGGTTGGGAAGTGATTACCAGTAAGCAGGCCCTGAGGACAGGCTTTAGATCACTCAATGTCATCCAGGTACAGGGAGAAGGCTTCGTTTTTGTTCTGTTTTGTCTTAGAAGATGATGAGGGAGGCTCAGGGTGAAGATGCCAAGACATGTGTATACAGCAGATATGCATAGTGTAGCCCCAAATCAAAACTCAACATCAGGAAAACCACACATTTCCACAGGAGGCTTCTGGCCTAGGCCCTGGCTCTGATCGCCTTTCTTCAGGAGGTATGGATGCTGTTCCAGGCTCTTCTGCATGGCTAAGGAAGCTGTATTCCAGAGCTGCACTACCAGGGCCATAGAGCCTGGAGGCGTCCAGTTCTGGAGCTTAAGCTTTTGAGCCTGAGAGGCCTGTTTGCCTGGTGCAAGGAGGGGAGGCCAGGCCTCAGGGGCCTTGGTACAGTGGGAGCTGGGCAAAGGCCAAGGGAGCCAACTGTCTACCACCTCAGTCTTGAGAACAACTGGAAACCTGGCAAAGGATATGGCTGAAGGGGTCTAAGACACTGAGGGAGGGGCTGTGGGTGTGTCTGAAGGATTGTAATGGTTATCTGTCTGCCAGAGATGAGGGCTATGCTCTAGTCAAGTGTCACCAATTCTAGATGAGACAGGTATGGGTATTTGTGTGTCACTAGGAGATATTGCTAGGTTTCTACCCTCAGCTACCCTCTTAGGGTAAGGCTGGATTTGGAGTTTTTCTTGCCCCATCACTGTCAGGAAGGGGTCAAGGCAAACAAACTCTTGGTCTCAGATCATATTTACATGGAAAGTGGACATAGCAGTAGGGAGGCAGGGCTGGTAGACAGCTAGGATGCTGAATGTCAAGCCTGTGGATAAATGGTTCTGGGTCCCGAGCCTAGCTTCCACGCTGTGTCAATAGGACAAGATGCCTGGCCTCCAGCAAACCAAAGCACATAAAAAAACCAGCAGGACTGGGTAAATCCTCAAGTTTCATATAGTTTTATATCACTGTAAACCAGGACATAGCACTTTCTCCTTGATAGGCTGTGCTGGGCCTAAATGAGGATGACAAAGGATGGCAGGGCAGGGAAAAGGCTCAACCACTGCTTTTACCAGCACAGTGTCTAAGGACCTGGTATTCCCCAAGGGCTTGTACTTAGAGCTTAATTTATCTTCCATTACTTTGCTCCTCAGATTCCTTATCCTTTTAGGACACTGGTGCAGGTCTAAGGCTCTGTTTCCTACACTCTCGGACTCCTGGTGCTTTTGACTGAGTTTTAAACTTGGGATAAAAAGGATTGCTCAGGAAAAGCTTCCAGACATGCTTGGACTTATCTGTAGCTATTGCACAGGTTAGTGTAGAGAGGCGGTTCTTCACTCACACAGGTGAAGTGCAAGGCCTACAGGGTCCTGGTCAGTTGCAGATCTGCCTTGGTAGTTTTCTTTCCCTAAAACAGTTCCTGATTTTCCAAGACCAAAGCACACATACTGGTCAGTAGTCAGGATGCTTTCAGTTTTTCTTCCTACTTAGAAAGGGGAAGGTGAAGGGTGAGGAGGGGGGAGGCTAGACAGTAGTCAGCTCGTGCATGCTACAGGTGGCAGTGAGACACATTCAAACCAATGGCATCCTCATGGGCCCCCAGCTTCTGGTCCACTTGCCTTACCACCTAACTATGCATGGTGGCTCACAAATGCACCAAGAGGTGAATGCGGGTTAGTGCTAAAGGAAGAGAAGATGCTTTAGGGAGCACTGGGCAATGAGGGTTAGGGAGAACATTGAAAACTAGTGACCAGTATGTGTCAGGACAGAGAGGATCAGCTCAAAGACCCAGAAACAATAGTGAATAGGAGTGATCTTAGTTTTGGCAATGAGAGCTTTACCAAGGAGCCAAATTCAACATGGTAAATCAGTGACTGTAGTCAAAGAACAGGTATATTTGGAGATACCCTAAAAGTCTAAAAGTCTTCTGGGCCAACAACTTCAATAAGATTAAGTATAGCCTCTTTCATGTGGCAGAAATTGGCATGATGAAGTCAACAGGTGATTCCTAGCCCTACTTTAGATTCTGGGCAGGACAGAGATAGAGAGCTCACTGTGAATCAGCATGAACCCACAAAACTCCTTCACCAGAGGGAGAGTGGGCCAAGCAACATTTGAGACTGCACTTGCTGCTTTTCTTGCTGTTATAAAATACCTGGCAAAAGCAACTTAAGGGAGGAAATATTCTTTTGGCTCAGAGACTATCAGTCCATCACAGTAGGGAAGGTGTGGCAGAACAGCTCCATCTGTGGTAGTTGGAGCATATTACATGACACTGGGCCAGGGAGCAGAGAACTCATGGAACCAGGGGTGGATAACACTTTCAAGGCTCACCCTTAGTAATTCCTAGTGAACTACTTCCACCAGCCAGGTCACACTTCCTAAATGCTCCACAGCCTTCAAAACAGTGCCACAAGCCTGGGATATATTTTCACTGATGTTACACTCTGGGGCCTTTGGTGGGCTTATCTGGAACTAAGAACTTCTGGGAAAACACATCTAGCCGGAACAACTACAACTTCATCTCTGCTTCCTTCCCTATGACATTCTTACCAAGCCTGATTTTTTTCTCCAAAGATGAACTGAACTTGCCATGTGGTAGTTTATAGACAAAGCTAGCGAATCATTACAAAACAGCCCCTACTCATTGCTCTTCTGTGACTTTGAGCCTTTCTTCTCTTTTTCGAACACCTCCTCTGAAGGTTTCCCTAACTATGTAGACCTCAGTGTTTTCCCTAACTACCATGGCTCAGTGATCTCCAGGGTGTTTGTGTTTTGTTCTATTAGCACAAAGCCATTCTGCCTTCACTATGTGGCAAGCAGGTGGAGTTTTAGGGTAAACAGGATCTGGAGCCTAGGGGCCTAGGGGTCAAGTTTTTAAAGAGGAGCACACTGCTCTGAGCCATAGCCTAAGGCTGAACTGTGACCTTGGAATTGGCATGCTGAAGCTCTCTCAGTACTCAGACTGTGACTGTACTTGGATAGGGTATTTAAGGAGGTGACTAAGTTAAAAATACATCAGTGTTCTAGTATGAAGTAGAGATTACGGATACAGGAATATATACACAAGATGACTATGTGAAGATGCAGTAAGAGGATCACCACCCATAAACCAAAAGGAGAAGCAGCCATCTCTGCCAGCACTTTGATCTTTGATATCTAGCCCACAGAATGCTAAAGAAATGCATTTCCATGGTTCAAGTTACCCAATTTGTGGTGTTTTGCTGTGGCAGCCTGAGCTGACTAATACAGTTGGCCCAAGCCAAAGACAAACCTTAGTGTAGCTGCTAATCAGGGGATCACTGACCCTTCCTAGGAACTCCCTGATGGTTTTCTTCAAGGGCCATCCCATTCTGAGTACCTTCCCTTGGCAGTGACAGCCAATTCTGCCTCAAATACCTTACTTTCCTGGTCCTTTGATAAGAAAGCATAAGGAACAGGAACATGCATACATAATGAGCACTCAGGAATGACGGTGACATCGACTCACTGTTCAGCTACATTTGGGTCCAGAGAATCAGTTTCGGTGGGTGTTTCAGGCAAGGAGGAGCCGGACTCCTGGATCTGGCACAATTCCTCATCTGTGATAATGTCAAACACAGCGTCATCTGGTGGTCTGAAGTCTGGGTGTGCTCCTGGGTAGTAGAGGCAGAGTAGGAGAGAAGAGACACAAACCCAATTATGAACAGACTTGGAGGAACATGGGGAAGTGGGGATGCAGCGGTGTAGAACAGCAGAAGGAACGCATTTTAAATGGCCGCTTAGCTCACTGCCATTCTGTACTGGTATGAGAGAAAGGCTTTTGGTACAGTTCAGAAAAGCAAAGGGACTACAAAAGATTCTCAATGTAAAGCCTAGAGACTCTTCAAAGGCAGAGAAGAGTTTCTACTACTTCTGTATCCTCTATCTAGGACCCTTATTTAAAAGGGAAAAATCTACCAAAATCCTATCAGGAAAGAAACTAACAATAAAGAAAGCATACTGTGCCCTCAGTCCTTGCTCTGTAAAACATAGGCAGTAACATTCTCAAGCAGGATTTTGCCTGACGTGTATTCCCTCCTCCCAGTCTACTGGTGGGTGGGACAGAACCTCTCTCTGGCATTGGGTGCTGTGTTTGACCTTGAAGGTCACTCAATAGGAAGGTCACTGTGCCAGTCAGGTACCCATAAACATGCATCATGGAAATATGAGGGCAAGTCTGAGGCAGAAAGAAAAAAAAAAGGAGTAGACAGGAAATGAGAGAAATCAAAACAAGCAACCCTTGCACCCTAGCATAGTATCACTGTCATTCTGCTGAACATGTACTAGTGAGAACGGCAGGAAATCTCCTGGGCTACTGTGCAAGAACAACAGTTTGGCTGTCCTGCTCTGTTCTCTGGGTAATGTTCTTCCACTCAAGCTTCCATAATAAAGGGCTGGAGGAACAGAACAAAAAAAGGACCCAGCTATACTCCCGAATCTCTCTTCTGAGGCTCATAGAGGGATGGAAAATGGGCCAGAGGGATCCAGAATGATGCTGACCAAGTAAAAAACCAACCAAGTAAAAAGCCAAAGACCTGAGTAAACTGAAGCTATACTGTGTTCATGGACTAAAAGAGTCCTTTACTAAGATATCAGCTCTCCCCAAGCAGATGTCATGAAATTCCAATGAAAATCTCAGCATGATTTGTTTTTAGAAATTGAGAAACTCTTTTGAAAATTTACATGTAAATTTATATGTTCATTAAAGAACAAAATTGCTCTACCTGATGGTAAGATGCATTATGAATCTATGTGATACAGTAAGGTACTGGTGGAAAGAGCAGGCACAAGATGAGTGGAAAGGAACAGAGTCCAGGTAGAGACTCACCGTGTGAGGTCAATTGGTTTTTGATAAATGTACAAAAGCAATACATACATAGATATTTAGTGCTCGTGCATGCTAAGTAATCATTTTACCATTGAGCTATATGTCTAGGCCCTGCACAACGGCAATTCCAAGTGAAAAGAATTTCAACTAATGGTGTTGAACCATGAGACAACTATAAAACAAAAAGCAAAAAGAAACCCCAAAATACTGTATTCATATTTTACCACCGTCACCAAAAAACTAACTCACAATGAGTTACTGACCCACACAGATAACCTAAAACCATAAAAATGTCTAGAAGCAGGGTGTGGTGGCCTCAATCCTAGTACTTTAGGGGCAGAAGCAAGGGGAATCTCTCTGTGAGTCTGAGACCAGCATGGTCTACACAGTCAATTCTAGGCCAGGGCAACACAATGAGGCCCCATCTCAAAAACAAAAAACAAACAAAAACCCAAACCAAACAACAACAACGAAACCAAAACAGACAAATAAAAAAACCTACTAGAAGAGAATGAGAGTTTTGAATACTGGGTAAAGCAAAGCTAGATATGATACACACAAAAATTGATCCGGAAGAGAAAATACTATAAATTTTACTTTATCAAGCTGGGCATGGTGTGGCACAGGCCTTTAATCCCAGCATTCAGGAGGCAAAGGCAGTCAGATCTCTGTGAGATCGAGGCCAACCTAGTTTACATAGTGAGTTCTAAGCCAGCTGTGGCTACAGGGAGACCCTGTCTCTAAAAGATCAAAAACAACAACAAAAAATTTTCCTTTATCAAAACTATAACTTCTGCTCTTTGAAGAATATTTTTACTCTTCAAAAGGAAACTGAAATATAAGCTATAAATTGGGAGAAAACATTTATTAAATATCTAATAAAGAACTCATATTCAGAATATATAGACTTGTAAAATTCAGTATTTAAAAAATGGGGAAAAGATCTGAAGACCTTAATGCTATGAAAAGCACAACCTCTATCCTGAGCAAGAGGGCCTATTGATTGATGATTCATTTATACAAGAGAGGAAGACGATTCTGAAGGCTGCCTGGCCTGTATCCGGCTGTGGTCAAGTAGGAGTTCATGTGAAGTAACTTTACACAGGAGTGATGCCTGGACAGAGGAGACTCACTTCTGCCATCTCAGCTCTGCCTCCTTTGGCTCTACATCTAAAGTCTAGTGCCCGGTGGGCAGCCTGGGCCAGCCTGTTAGGGTATTGGATACAGAAGCAGCAGGAATCAAAACCTGCATCTACTTACTGGCTAAGAGGGAAGACAAAAGGAATACATCCTCCTTGACCATTGGAGAGCAAGAAGGACATGGACTATTCTAGATAAAACTGCTGGTCTTGGGTTACCATAGGACAGAGGATAGATACCTGAGAGGAGACCTTCGGAGACAGCACTCCCCAAAGTATGGGGTATATTCCACTGGTGGTATGTGAGTATACACATTTCATACTAAACCACACTGAATCGTGTCAGGAGACTAGTCCCTCATGAATCCTCATAATACAAAAGTTTCAGGTTGGTGGTAGTGTATTTTTAGCAACTCTTTGACATCTAAGTTTGGGAAGCACTGAATGAAGCTTGCTCAAGCTACCTGGCTACAGTGTGGAAGGAGTGACATCTAAGAACCCAGGGGGCAGGGTCTGACCTTGGTTTCCTGTGGCCTGAGGTCCTGCTTCTGGTGACAGCATGGGGCTGGGCTCTCCCTGGCTAGTGCCTGAGCCACTGCTATCAGGGGAGCTAGGGCCTTCACCAAACTTCTGGAAGCAAGCTCGGCAGCATCGCTCCTTCTTGCCACTGGGCTTAGTCACAGCATAGTTGTTGCAGCAGTAGTAACAGAAGATATGGCCACATATCCTGGGAATGAAACACGCACAGGCTGTGAGGATGATGCATTATGAATTGCTTGAGATCTGTTCAGCACCAGAACAGGGCTGTGTTAGGCTCCTGATGCCCTACGACTCTCCAGACCTAGCTATTCCCTTATACTGTAGAGTATGCTGTAAGCCCATTTCCTAAGATTCTAACAAAACCACTGTGGTAGGCTTAGTGGAGAATGGTTTACTTCCTAAAATCTGGGAGGCAGTGAGAGAAGGTGTGACTGACACCAGGTTGCAGGTGTGCATTCCACGTCTGGGGGAGGCGTGTATCTGTAAAAGAACATAGGTGAAAGAGATATGTCCCTCACTCCTCAACCTGCCCTCTGGGTCCTGGGAAGGTCTGTATCCTCTGGCACTACCTCTATTTCCCCAGAAGAGCTGGACCAGTTCTCAGTAGGGATCCAGTAACACCTGTCTTAAGTTCCCCACAGACTGAAGAGTACCTGAAAGGGAAGCTGGTCTCCGGATGCACTATATAACTGTGGGTGTCCTTAATCCTACCCCAACCCACCCTGCTCCCTTTCTTTTTAAACTATTTTATTTATTATTTTTAATTTACATGTATGAGTGCAGTGACTGCATGGATGTAGGTGCACCCATGTTGTGCAATGCCCAAGGAGGTCAGAAGGTGGTGTTGGATCCTCTGGAACTGGAGTTATGGATGGCTGTCAGCCACAATGTGGGTGCTGGAGATCGATCCCAGGTCCTTTGCAAGAGCAGCCAGTGCTCTTAACCACTAAGCCATCTCTCCAGTCCCCCCTCCACTTCCTTTCTTTCAAGGGAGCCCTAAGTGGCCTGATAGGACCCAACTAATACATACTCCTCTCCTGCTTCCCTCAGTCAAGCAGAGTGCTCTGCTCAGACAGACATCCATGGTACCCACACTTATCTCAGACCCCTCATTCAGAGCCATCTGTTCTGATCCCAGTCTGCTGAGCTGCCTGTTGCCGACCTGCAGTGGTGCCGCCGCACTATCCAGCTGAACTCCCGCTTGCAGTCGTGGCAGTGGTTGGCATCGGTGTCCCCCAGGCACTTCTCTTCACTGAGCTTCTGCTGGAATTCCAGTGCATCAGACTTCTGCCAGAGAGCATCCTTGTCCCTGCAATTAAACCACATTTTAAGAATCCACAAGAAGAGACTGACCCCTGCTTCATTTCAGAAGGCTGGTACTAAATGCCCCAAGCTACAGAATGTTAAGTCATGCCTGCCTTGGAAATGCCTTCTCCCCAGCTTGAGGCCACCCCTGGCACCTACAAAACACAGACTCTTTGGTGAAGCCTCTGTGGGTTCACCAACACATAGGTTCTTTGACCCCATGTGTGTGAGAGCACACGGGAAGCACATGATGTGCTGTGTCAACTACAAGAAGCTGCCAGCACTGACAGCTTACCACCCAGGTATCCAAAACACAGTACAGATTACTATGGGAGTGTAAGCTAAAGCAGGTCACCACACTGATAGCCTCCATGTTGACAGATGGCATGTTGTGTGTGTGCAGGAATCCTGGACCATGAATGTACTCCCTGGTAACTCTTAATGTGCTCAGGGCGTTTCAGGTTATGGTTTGTTCAATTAGGAATTAATCAAAGAAGATTAAAGATTTCCCAGCCTAAAAACATGACCAGACATTCGCCTCCTTCACTCCTTGGAGAGATTATATAATAATTCCAGGAAGTCAGTCTGAAGGAAGTGAGGCTTTTCAGAAAGCTCTGGCAGTAAGCAAGTACGCCTGAAGTAGCAGTGAAACCTGTACAGAGATGTTTTCATGGCTGCTAGTGGTCATTTTCAGGGCTTTTGGTTCCTGGCATGGGAAGTTTCACTCTTTTCCGTATGGAGCACCAGCTGGCATCCAAGGGAGTGACAGGGCCCCAGCTGAACTCAGACACTGATGATGTAACAACAGGGCCAGTCAAGATCCTGAGAGACACTGATTCATCACCAGCCAAGAACCCAAATCAACCAGAGTTGTGTCCTCTTAAATAAACATGCCCAAATAGAGAGATGGCTGGGTTTTTTAAAGGACATCTGAAATTGTTAGGGTGCAGGAAGACTCATTCTCTGGACCAGCCTGTTCTTCCAGCTGATCTACAGCATCTGATCTCCATGTCCCTAGGTAGTCAGATACCCACTTCCTGGAACACGGAAATGCTGTGGGTCTTCTCTACCACATTCCTCAAGTAGATACAAAGAGTTCTTATGAATTAGTGGATCTAGGCACAGCATACCCATGGCTGCTACCATCACAAATGGAGACAAGTTGGATTTTATCTGCCTTTAGGGATGAGCAAAAACCGTAAGTCAATTTTGTTTTGGGTTTTTGTTGCTGTTACTGTTTTTTTTGAGAGAGGGTCTCTCTTAGCCCCAGCTGGTCTGGACTCACTACGTAGACCAGACTGGCTTTGATCACAAAGAGATCCTCCACCCAGTTGTATCAAATGTTCCTGATGATGATATAGAGGCCAGGTGTTATGGCATATACCTTTAAATCCAGCACTCATGAGACTGAGGCAGGCAGGTTTTTGTGAATTTGAGGCCAGGCTCAACTACACAGTGAGACCCAAGCCAGCCAGGTGGGAAAATAAGAGTGATCATGGGTTGCACCCAGCAGAGGCTGGGTGATGGGTACACAGGGATGTATTATTGCTATGGCTTGAGTCTGAAATCCCCCCATCATATGTATGAACACTTGGTCCCAGGCTGGTGGTGCTGTTAGAGGAGGCTGTGGAGCCGTTGGAATGGAAGGCACAGCTGCTGGAGGTGGGTCACTGGGGTCTCTACTTCCTCATTTGCTGACACAGAGCATGGTTGCCATGGACTGTCACTCTTACTATGGCCCTTGCCTGTCAGAACTGTGAAACCTTCTGAACCCAGAGTCCAAACAAATGTTTTCTCTCTTAAGTTGCTTCTGTCAAGTACTTAGTCACAATAAGAAGAAAAGTAACATATAGTTATAGTATTCTATTTCTGCATATTTGGAAATTCTCTTTTAAAAAAGTGAAGTTGTGAATGACCTCCAAGTATTTAAAAATCAGGCATAAGACCTATGCAAACTTAAGCAGACAAAACCCCAGTGCACTGTGGAAATGGGCAACAAGTCCCAATCTTAGTTGAAGAATTGTTGGCAGCTGATTATTGCTGGGTGAGGAAAAGCTGATCTTCTTAAAGGGAGGGACTCCAGATAGGCTGACTAGACCTCAGTGGATGGATGAACTTGCACTGAGGAACATCTGGGAACACTAGCTTGACACAATAGGCCTTAACACAAATGACAGAATGCATGAATTCCAGTGGGGTGGGAAGCGAAGGGAGGGGGCCAGTGGGGAAGGAGGCATAAAGACGATTAAGACTAATTAAGATGGTCTGTGTGAAATACACAAAAATTCAATTAAAAACTTACCAAAAAATCAGAATATTTCCCATAAAACCCCAGCTTCCCACCATCTTTTGACAAATAAGGCACCACAGCCATTCTCAAGTGGCAGGAATGGAGCATGCTGGGTCCTTCAGAGTCCTTCCCAGTGTCTTACATAGGACACTGCTTCTGGGACCCTGTAGGGACCTCCAATCCTGGGGAAAGTGGGATAGTAGAGAAGGAAAAGAGGGCTCACAGGAAGGGGGCAAGAGAATGGGGCAATCTCCAAAGCTATTGTGATGGCTAATCATAGTGTCAACTTGACACACTTGGGAAAAGAGGGCATCAATTGAGGAACTTCCCCCATCAGACTGATTTATGGGCATGTCTCTGGGGCGTTTTCTTGATTACTGATTGAGTAGGAAAGCCCAGTCAACTGCTGGCTGTGCTGTTCTTGGGCAGGTGGGTCTGGGCTATGGAAGAAAGGTAGCCGAGCAAGCCAGGGGAAGCAAGTTCAGTAAGCAGCATTTGTTCCTCCACGGTCTCCGGTTTAGTTCCTGCCTCCAGGTTCCTGCTTTGACTTCCCTCAGTGATGGATTGTGACATGAAAGCTGTAAGCTGAAATAAACCCTTTCCTCCCCAAATTGCTTTTGGTCATGGTGTTTAGTGCTGCAACAAACAGCAAACTAAAACAGCTACTAAATGTCATCCCCATGGCTAGGCACCCAGAGACTGAAAATAACCCCATGTCTACATGAAAACCCAAACCCAAATGGACACTAGTGGGGTATTAGCTATGTTTCTGTTGCTATGATAAAACACCATGACCAAGGCAACTTAGAGAAGAGTTTATTTGAACTTATGGTTCTAGGGGGCTAAGAGTCCACTTCTCATTCAAACCACCACAAGTGGGAACAGTGAGATCCAGCCTTCTAAGACTGCCAAGGCCTGGCAGACCCTGTAGGTGTATAACCCCCAACAGAACACTGCACAAAACTAGAGGAGAAGGGCCCATTCCCAATGAACTGTTCTTTACAGATACAGTTTTTCTTTCTTTTAAGGAAGAAGCGATCTTGATCAGGGTCCCCTGCTGTCCCCTGCTGACCTGAGCAGCTCTATCAGCCGCTCTTCAAGGTATTTCTTGGTTCTGTTTAGGTCGTCCAGGTCTGCAAGCATCTTCTGGTCATTCCTTTCCCGGTTTGTAACCTCCTGGCAGAGTTTGTTGTAATACTCTTGGATTTTGGATGTGGCCTTTTCAAGTTCCCTCTGGGTCCTGGGAGAAGAGGAGTAAGTTTTCCTGATTAGCTCTGATGTTCACATTCCCAGAAACCCTGGGTACCCCCAGGGTCCGATTAGGGGTTCTGTTGCCCTGTTGGCCTCTCCCTCTCATAGGGGGGCATGATCTACTTGCAGGTTATGCATTCCCCCAGAATTTGAGACTCTCTTCACTGCCCCTGAAACCCAAAGGGGTATTCTGGGAGGGCAGGGAGACCCCCAAATTGCCAGCATACTCAAAGTGAGTGGGATATGATGCCCTCTTTGATTCCTGGACAGGGCCTGAGGTTGGGAGTAGCTAGAGGGGAAAGGCTTATTGGGTGGTGATGGGGCGGTGAGCAAGGGAGATGAGTCAGAGCACAAGGGAGAGTTGTAGCCTCTTGGCTATAAAGAGGTTCCTGGCTCCCAGATGTCTTTGGGACTCTATGCCTTGGGGAGAGTGCTGGATCATAGCAGACCTCTATCTGAGAGCCCCCGCAACCCTCCCAAATTCTGCTCTAGGACCTGTGGAGTCTAGTGTATAGCAGAGGGGTCTGGCCGTGTTTTCTGTCTGATCCTAAGCATTCCACGTGCAGCTCAGCTACCCCTAAGGTGGCAGTTTCTAAAGATATTATAAGCTCCAAGGCCCAGCAAGATGTTATGTAGAGCTCCATTAAACAGAGGGCTCTGTAGAGAACCTAACTTCCTTAGATTCCTTCCAGCCAGGTCCACAGTACAAAGCTGTTAAGAAGTTGTTGAGTAGATACTGCCCACAAAATGATTTCAGGGTATACAGCACAAAACAAGTTAAATGAAGTCCAATCCTGGGCAGATGGACTGTGCAACTCTGTGTAAGACAACGCTCTGAGATCTTTCATGTAACCACTCTTACAGGATTTAAAGCGTATCAATTCAAGTGTTTCCTTTGTTTAAATCACATCAACAAGACCTGGCTAGGAACTAGGGCCCTATAGGATTTCAATGCAGACAAGCAGGTAAGACATGGGCCAGCCACTAGGCCTCTCACTGAGCTCAGGGCCAAACTGGAATCAGGTGGCAGGAGGTAGAGGTGGGTACAGATCCAGACAATCTGACACACTTGCTTTTGCTAGTGCCAAGGTATTTGGTCCTGGTAACCACCCTCCCTGATCAACTACTCTCATGAGGTCCTGGCTTTACTAGCTTGGCCTCATCTCCAGAGGCAGGCTCAGACTCACAACTCCACATGGCCCCAAGCTGAGTGATGAAACGAGGAGAAACCAAACTTTCCTAACAGGACTGTTAGCATCCCTAATCTGAAAATACAAAATCCAAACTGCTTTGAAACCTGACAAAACCAGCCAACCACCACCACCACCACCACCACCACCACCACCACTTTCTGGTCCTAAGTCTTTTAGCTAAGGAGGCTTGGTGGGCACATGCAGCACTTGGATCAGACTGCCGTACTGCAAGCATGGCTCAATCTTGCTGTTATTCCCATGCCTTAACTTGTGCCCCCTGTTTTTTGGAAGTATGCAGTCAGTGTGTGTCTGCAGGAGGTAAGAAGCTGCACCAGGTGAAAGGAACCTGTAGAATGTGGCAGGCTTTTCTGTGGCAAGCTTCTGGCTCCTGTGCTTTCTGAGGTCATGGCTTTTCTTGCAGGATTTCCTTATCCAGTATGAGTGGCTGAATTTCTAAAATGAGTGTACCTACCCATTCCCAAAAGACTACTGTGGCTATGTTGATGGGCCCAGTGTCTGACCTTTCTAGGCTTAAGCGCAGGGAGGCACCCTCTTCATCCTTGTGAAGCACGGCAGCCTGGCACTCTGTGAGGCAGCTGCTGGTGTAGTTCAGCTTCTCCTCCATAGCTGCCTTGGTGACCTGACATAAGACATCAGAGAGAAGACACTGAGCTTATAAAGCTCACTCCCTATGCATGAAGAGACTGTACTACCCACTCCACATAGCAGGGCTACTTCTAAGGGGAAGATTTTGTTGTGTTGAAGCTTATGAGGCCAGGAACATATTCTCTGCATTTGTGGGTGTGACCTGCTCCTCAGGATGCTGGAATTCAGATGGCGAGGAGTGGGGTCATTGGTGGGACCAGTGCCACGCCTGTGCTCTTCAGTTTAGATCAATGACACTAGGGAATGCCAAAAGAAGTGACCAAAGGCAACTTCCTTTCAGCCAAGATCCAGGGAGTGGAAGTGGTCACGGCATAGGCTTGGGATAATGTCTGAACCAATGACTGCTTTACTGTGAGAACTGGCAGCATTGTGAGGAGCCCTCTTCAACAACCCAGTAAAAGCAGACCAGATCTCTCTCCCTGACTGTATACCCCAGCCAGACCCACCTCCAGCTCATGCACAGCATCCTTAGCCCCTTGCAGCTGCCGGCCTTGCTCCTCCAGCTGGGCCCTGAGGCTCCCACACTCTTCATTAGCTGTCTGGAAAGGAGAGAAAGGCATCATAAAAGGGGGCTTTTTGCTCTGAGACGCTTTCAACTTTATCACCCAAATCATTTGTAAAAATAAGTCAGCACTATTTCCTGAAGTGGCTCCTTAACAAGCTTCTCACTCTGCTGGTAATAAAATACTTGCAAGTTTACTAGGGATTTGTTTCCCTTCAGCCTGGTCCTCAGATGGAATTAATTTCTGCAAGTGAAAAAAGTACCTAAGGAGCCTCCAGGGGCATCATGAGTTGCTGTGGCTTGGAGAGGGCACTTCTGGGAAAGGGCAGGTGGGAATAGAGGGTGCTGAGTGGGGAGAGTGAAGAGGCACTGGGCAGACCCATCAGTGATACACACTGAAAATTAAAGCTCCATGGCAACATGCCCAAGTCCTTACTTGTCATTCTTAGACCCTTTCCCTCATGTAGTATTAAAGATCCCTGGTAACCATGAGTCTCTCAGACTTGTCTACTCCAAGGACCTTGTTTTCAGTGGCTGACAGCACCTGGAGGAGCTGGTTATTCAGTAAGGACCAGAGCCATGATTCCAAGCTGTCATAGATTGCTGACCCTATGGGGGAGGAGGCTCCAGAGGCTAAGGCAGTTAAAAGGTAGGATATGTGGTGAGGGGGCTGGGCACAAATGCGTGCAAGGGGAAGCAGCAGAAGGCTGTGTGCACCCTTTGAAGTGGTGCCACCACTGAGCTGCCGCAGCCAGCTGCCGTGTAGAGATGTGCACACAAGCTTTTAGATCTTCTGAGATTTCAAAAGCAGCCACAAAACCGAATTTATAAACATCCTGCTCTACCAATGTTGGCTACTAATTTAAAAAAGGTCTGTGTGGGCTAACGCCTGCCTTGAGTAGAAGCTTCTGGACTAAGGTGTCACTCCTTATGCTCTGCCTGATGTGTTTCTGCAGAGAAATAAACACTGCCATAGCAAGATGGGACCAGGATGTTCTCTGGCCCTCACCATTTTCTTGCTGCAGGACCATATGCTCCTGGACCCACCAGGCTCACTCCAGGAGATGGTCAAAGCTGGGCTTACCTTCAGTCTGCTCTGGTGGTCCATGATCTCAGCACTCAGCTGGAACTTGAGGGCATCTCGTTCCTGGTGTGCCGCCTCCTGGAGGCTCTGGGTTCGCTGTTCAGCCAGGGCTAGCTGTGCCTGCAGGCCACAGAGTGAACTGGCTGCCTTTTCAGCCACCTTCAGCTTCTCCCACAAGCTCTCCTTCTCTTGCTGTAGCCCTGCCACTTGGTTCTCCAAGGTTTCTCTTTCCCTTAATGCTGCCTCTTTGGCATCCTGGAGCTCCTGGGCCAAGCTGGCCAGGGCTCCCTCCACCCGCTCCTTCTCAGCTGTCAGGGCGCAGACCTGCATGCCGAGCTCAGCTATGTCCGTGTTGGCTCGATGCAGATGCTCCTGCAACTCTACATGCTCTAGATGGGCTCCCTCAGAGCTGCACCTCACCTGTGACAGCTCTGCCTTCAGGGCCTGCAGCTCTTGCTCCTGCTGCTGGGCTGTGCTGGCTCTCTCCTCCTGCAATGCCCCTTCCCGTTCTGAGCACTGCAGCAGCTCCTGCACATGGGCCCTGTTGAGGGCTTCATTCTGCTCCTTCAGCTGCTGCACGAGGGTCTTGTGCTCCCTCAGGATTGCCTCAGTCACACCCAGCTGGCTCTGTATCTTGTCCCGGTCACCCAGGGCCACCTGGAGCTTGGCCTGGAGGTCTACCACCTCAGCCTGTAACCGCTGGGCTTCCCCCTGGTGGATTTCCAGCTGTGCCTGAGACAGGGCCAGCTGGGCTGTGTTGTCTCGGGGCAAGGTGAGACCCTGTTGGCTTTTCTCTGCAGAGAGGGCCTCAATCAGCTGAATCTGTTGTTGGCATTGGTTCTCAAGAGCCCTAAGCTCCTGGCCCTGGGCCTCTGTCCACTGCCGGCACTGCTCTACCTCCTCCTGCAGCTGCCGGCACTCACCCTCCTTGCTCTGTAGGGCAGCCTCCTTCTCTGCCACCTGGGCCTTCATGGTCTCCTTGGCTTTCCTTACAGCCAGAAGGCTTGCCTCCATCTGGTCACCTAGGTGCCGGATGCTGGCCTGTTCAGCTTCCAGGGAGGCGAGGGAGCCCTGGATGGCTGCCTCTCGCTGCTGCAGGGCTTTGTAATCAGCCTGCAGGGCCTGTAGCTTGCCCTCCAAAAGCTGGTTGCGCACAGCCATGTTCTGCAGCTCCTTCTGCAGCTCCTGGTTGGCCTGTTGCAGCTCCTCATCTCCCCCTGGTACCTTGGTACTGTTCACCTGTACCTCCTGCAGGCACTGCTGCCCCTCCTCTGGCTTTTCCCTGGCCTGTGGTGGGGCAGAGCTCTTGCTGGTTTCACGCAGCTCAGCCAGCTGTTCCAGTGTGCCCACCCTCTGGCTGAGGTGGTCTCTGTCCTGGATAAGTTGCTTCTTCTGCTCCTCCAGATCACTCACAAGCTGGTTTACCTGTGCTAGCTGGGTCTCCAGGAGCTGCAGCTGCCACGTCAGAGACTTGGCCTCCTGCTGCAGCAAGTGCTTCTCCTCCCATCCCTGCTTTTCCTGCCGTCTAGCCTCTGCCAGTTCCTCTTCCACAGAGGTCAAGTGGACCAAGGAATCCTGTAGCTGTCGTCGGAGCTGGGCTGACTCTTGCTTCTTCCCAGACAGCTCTTCCTCAAGTGAGGCCACATCTTTCACCAAGTGCTCCAAGCCAGCTCGGGCCTCTTCCTTCAGCTGCAGTTCCTTGGCCAGCTGCTCTAGCTGGACACACTGCTTCCTGTTGAGCTCCTGGACCTTGGCATTCTCCCTTTCTAGGGCCTGAAGTTTTTCTCTCAGCTCCTGGAGCTTCAGGGCCATATTGGCAGGAACTGGTTCTTGCTGAAACAGGGTTGGATTGCCCCTCTTCTCAGCCCTGGCCAGCCAGTCCGAAAGGCTGGCTAGAAGCTGGTTCCTCCTGCCTAGAGAGTCTCGTGCAGCCTCGAGCTCCAGAGCCAGGGGCTGCAGCATGGTCTCCACCTGCTGCAGGGCTGAGCAACTGTCCCCTTTCTCGTCTACATCCAGCTTCAGGGCCTGCAGACATGTCTGGAGCTCCTTCATAGTGGCGTGAGTGAGTTGTGTGACCTCCCCCTGCTTCTGCAGCTCTGCCATTAGGCCCTTGAGGTCAACGCTGTCCTCTAATGCAGGGTGTCCCATCTCCGTCTCCACCTGCAGTTGTTCCCCCTGCCTGCTGATCACTGCATGCAGCTCCTGGTTCTCCCTGTCCAGCTTCTGTATACGCTCCTGCAACTGTTTCTCCCGTACTTCCAACTGGTCCAGCTCCAGCCGCATCTCATCGAAGCCTTCCATCCCTTCATTGTTTAGAGGACTGTTCAGGTCAAAGCTGGAGGCCATCTCCTGAGTCAAGGGGGAAAAGACAGGAGGCTTGGGGATCAAGCTGTCCTGCTACTTAGATTAGCTTTTGCACTCAGTGAGAGCAGAGGTAAAAATAAAGGAGTTACTTGACCTAAGGTGAGCTTAAAGAGCTGTTCTAAGGACTAGAACCCTTGTGTTCAAAAGCACCTGCCACAAGGTCAGAGCACATTTAAAGCGCATTTCTATCCAGCCTCTATGAGCTTTTAAAAAAAATGTATTTTATTTTATGAAAGTTTTCCCTGCTAATATAAGTGTGCCGTGTGTGTGTGTGTGTGTGTGTGTGTGTGTGAGAGAGAGAGAGAGAGAGAGAGAGAGAGAGAGAGAGAGAGGTGCTTGGGGAGGCCAGAAGAGGGCACTGTATCCCCCAGAACTGGAGTTATGGGCAATTTTTAACCTGCTATATAGGTAGGTGCTGGTAACCAAACCCAATGCTCTTGGCTGCTAAGCCATCTCTCTAGTTCCTTGACCAGCTTTATTAGCTTAAAAGGTATTGGTTCTCACATAATCTACATTCAGTTACAATGAAATTATGGTTATCCCATTGTACCCACAGCTCCTGGCATGATTAAATCACAAAACGAAGTCAAAGAGTAGTCTGCTTTTTTGTTTGTTTTTGAGACACGGTCTTCCTGTAGTCCCAGCTGGCCTGGAACTTACTATGTAGACCAGGGTGACCTTGATCTCAGAGTAATCTGCCTGCCTCTGCCTCCTGAGTGCTGGGAATAAAGGTGTGTACCACATGCCTGGCTATTTTCTATTTCTAATGTTTCTTATACTGAACATTTTAAAAAATATACATTTTAAAAATTAAATGTGTATGAGTGTTTTGCCTACATGTATCTAAGTGCACCACTTGTGTGCAGGTACCCACAGAGGCCAGAAGAGGGCATCGGACCCCCTGAAACTGAGTTGATGGATGTTAGCTACCATGTGGGTGCTGGGAACTGAACTTGGGTCTCTGGAAGAGCAGTAAGTACTCTTAACTGCTGAGCCATCTCTTCAGCCCCTATAATGAACCTTTTTTTTTTTTTTTTTGAGTTGCTAATCAATTTCAACAAAACTATAGATAGCTATATTTGATGCACATTTCTGAAAAAGTTAGCACTTCCTGACCCATTGTCCTTAAGCACCTGTTCACTCAGTGCTTCACTTGTGGGCAGGGTGATTTTATTACCTCCCCTTACAAAGGAAAGAATTGAAGCTTCAACATAAGTCATTTCCCTGGTAGGTGGCAGGGTCAATCTTAACTATGGTGCTAGCCTAGTTAAGATCCTTTAAATCTTTTAAAAGGATCTAAATTCTATTTGGTTGTAAAAACTTCTATTCCAGGATATAGACGATATAACTTGAGGCGTCATATTGCTCTGGCAGGAACAACAAGTATTTGAGAACATCACCCTTGAGTTGCTAGGGACAAGGAGACACTCTGGTCACCACAATAGTCAGGTACCCCAGCCTTCCCTCCTGCGTTACCTGCAAGGAGCTGCTCACTAAGCTGCTCATGCTGGAGCTCCGGCTGGGGGCTTTCCATGTGTATGCAGAAAAGCCAGTGGCCAGTGTCCTCCTGTGGAGCCACAGAACAGACGCAGTAAGAACACAGAAACACAGGTTGTGGTGGTTTGAATAACAATGTTCCTCACATGTTCCAAGTATGTGAACACTACGTCCATTATTGGTGCTATTTGGGGGAAGCATCATGGAACCTTCAGGAGGTGTGGCCTAGCTGGAGGTAGCCAATCACTAGGGGTGAACTTTGGGAGTTTACTGCCTTGTCCCACTTCCAGTCTGTCTTTCCACTTCCTGTGTGTGCTTGAAGATGTGCTTCAGTCACCTTGCTTCTCTGCCGTGATGGAACTCTTATCCCCTGGAACTGTAAGCGAAATAAAATCTTCCTTCTGTAAGTGGCCTTGGTCATGGAGTTTTATCATAGCAACAGAAAAGTAACTGATACAAACGTACATACACACATACTGGCAGTGGTGTTGGTAGGATATGGTCTGGATACCATTTGAGTATCTACCAAAGGGTTCATGTGTTGGAAGCTTATTCCTTAGAATGGTAGTGCTGAGAGGTGATGGAACCTTAATGAGTGTGGCTAATGTAAGTCTTTAGATCGACTGTGGATGTGCTCTTGGAAGGTACTGTGGAGCCCTAACTTCTGGCTCTCTACCTGAGAGGTGTGATCTCTTTTGCACAATATATACCCCTTCTTCTCCCTGAAGTGGTAGTTAAGGGAATCCCTTGCCAGAGCCTGAGCCTGTTGCTTAGGCCTTCAGCCTCTGAAACTGTGAGCTGAACAAACCTCTAAAAAGGAAGGCTTCCAAACTTTTTAAAAATATTTAAAGATTTATTTTTATTTTTATTTTTTTTGTTTATATGAATGTATGCTGTATGTGGGTGCCTGCGGAGGCCAGGATGTAATATTCCCTGGAGCTGGAATTACAGGCAGTTGTGAGTCTCCTAACATGGGTGCTGGAAACTGAATTCCAGTCCTCTGGAAGAAAAGGAAGAACTCTTAACTGTTGAGCCACCTCTCCAGCTCCAAAACCTCTTTTCTTTATAGTTTTGCTTGCTTCATGTTTTTTATTACAGTAATGCAAAATGGACTAATGAAGAGTAATCCTTCCAACAGACAGCATAAAGAAGGAAAACTCAACAATTTACCCCCCAAGAGCACATCTCTATAGGCCTACAGGCAGGGACTCTATTGCTATAGTTTAAACATCATGGCATGAGGTTGGAGAGATGGCTCAGCAGTAAAGAGTTATTGCTATGCAGTCATGGAGCTCAGATCCCGGCACTCGTGTAACAAGCTAGGCATTCTGCACACATCTGTAATTCTAGCTCCAGGGAGGGGAAGGCAGAAAGATCAATGGGCTTGCTGGCTTCTTACCTAGCCAAGAAAATGGGAGCCTCAGGCTTAGCAGTGGTGCCTGCATCAAAAGAATAGGTGGAGAATAGGTGGCACATGCCTTTAAGCCCAGCACTTGGGAGGCAGAGCAGGCAGGATCTCTGTGAGTTCAAGGCCAGCCTGGTCTACATAGCAAGCTCCAGGGCTAGCTGAGGCTACAGGGAGACCCTGTCTCAAAAAGTTCAAAAAATAAAAGAAAAATAGGTGGAAAGTGACAGAACTAGTGCCCTCTTCCCATACATGACACAAGTACACACATACACTCATCTCCATACAAGTAACATATAAATCTGCCTTCTATTCACAGCCCCCCCCCCGCCCCAAACTAAGTAAATATACTTTCCAACTTTTGGTTGAATTTTCCTTCAGTTTCTGGTACCTGCCATGGTGTACTTGCCAATGAGGAACAACCAACAGTCAATTTGGTTAAAAAAAATAAAAAAAAGGAGGTGGGGGGAGGGGGTAGTACCACTGTGCTGAGGGGCTTGTAATTGCCGCCTCATTACACATCTACAATGTGGCTCAAGGCCTGACTATACTTCATGAGGCCACACTGGACAAGGCAGCACACCTCTCACTGCAGGAAGTCCTGCTGGACAGCATGGGTCTAGACACAGGCTTATGAGGTAACTCTCAATTTGAAGGAACATTGCAATCTAATCATACTTTTACCCCACCACAATCTACAGACATTGAACTGTCAAACCTCTTAGAGTCCACAACCCAGCAATGACTCTAGTCAGAGTCTGCCCCATAGCCATATGTGTGTACGAGGCGGGAGAAGTTCTCAGCACTGTAACTTTGGAAAGGTGGAACCAGCCTAAGTCCACCACAGTGTCACCCCAGTTATGGTTATTCATACACTAGAATACTCTACATGGTGTGTCTGCCAGATAGTATTTGGGGCTTATGAGATATATAGTCTGTATCATATGCCCTGCATGAAAGCTGCTTCAGAATATGCAAAGAGATGGGCAAAATGATTCACATGGTGCTGTGGCTTGCTCCCTACTCCACAGCCATAGAACCCCATATGCAAACACAGGTAAAACTATCTAAACATGTGATATGTAAAAGGTGTGAAATGATATCTCATGATTCAATGTGCACAAACTTTTAGAAAATATATACAAAATGAAACTATATATAGTCATAATATATTTGTGGTTATATACATATATAATGAAAACAAAAACTTGGAACTGATATATGTCAATCATGGGGCTGTATTTACTTCTGAATAGGAAGAAAAGGGGAAAGATAGCAACAGGGTGGGGCCTTACTAGATTTATCATATTTTATTTCATTTAAAAAAATTTATTGAGAATTTCATACATGCATATAAGGTGTTTTGATCAAATCCATGCCCACTCCCTCCCCTCCAACTCCTCCCATATCTCCCCATCACTTTTTTTCTGATAACTTCATATACTCTCTCTTCTTCTTTACTTTTTTATGGGGCTTTTTGTTACTCTAACATTCCATCCTCTGAAGAGGTAACCCTAAAATATTTTAAGGATTAGATAAGAGCTCCCAAATACTTTAGACATTTTTGGCCTTTGGAATGGAGCATGTTGCTAAGAAGCCCAAGGACATTTTGACTTTTAGCCAAGAAACTGTCTACTTATCTTTGGGGTCTTTTTACCTTAACTGCCTAGCTAATTCCTACCTCCTATTCTTATCACACCATCCTCTGAAGAGGTTCCCCAACTTGCGGATAGGAAATTGGGACACTCTTATTTCTTAAAAGATGGCTCAAGCTGGGCATGGTGGCGCACGCCTTTAATCCTAGCACTTGGGAGGCAGAGGCAGGTGGATCTTTGGGAGTTCGAGGCCAGCCTGGTCTCTATAGCGAATCCAAGCCAGCTGGGGCTACAGGGAGACCCTGTGTCAAAAAGACCAGAAAAAAAAAAAGACAAAAAACAACAAAAAACTTGTGTGTGGGGCTGGAGAGATGGCTCAGTGGTTAAGAACACTGACCCAGGTTCAATTCTTAGCACCCACATGGCGGCTATGAACCGTCCTTAACTCCAGTTCCAGGGGAATCCAAAGCCCTTTCTGACCTCCGAGGCCTTGCATGACACGGGTGCACTCACTTATATGTAGGCAATACACTCATACCACTTGTTGTTCTTGCAAAAGACCCAGGTTTGAATCCTGGCACCTACATGGCAGCTAACAACTGTCTGTAACTCCAGTTCCAGGGGATCCGATGGCCTCTTCTGTCCTCGTGGGCATTGCATGACACGGGTGCACTTACATACATGTAGGCAATACACTCACACACATAAAAATAATAAAAATATTTTTTCAAAAATGCATTATAAGAAAGAAACCCTACAAGCACCAGCCCAAGAGGTCTCTCACTAGCCAAATATGGGGTAAGTTAAGGTTCAAAATCAGTGACAGAATGTAAGCCACTGAACCAAACAAGCACCCACAAGCCAATACTAAAATAAATGAAATTAATGGGGAAGGTAGGCAAAAGAGTGGCAGAGCTGGATGCAATTTACTGAGCAAGCAAAACAGCTGAGGCATATTGGTGGCAGTCTTCAAAATTTTGAACATTTCTTTTCTTGACTTAAAAAAAATTATGTGTATGAATATTTTGCCTGCCTGTAAGTGCTCCAAATGTGGACCTGGTACCCACAGAGGCCAGAAGAAGGTGCTGGATCCCCTGGAACTGATGTTAAGGACAGGTGTTAGCTGCCATATGAATTCTGGGAATCAAACCAGATCATCAGCAAGAGCAGCCAGTACTCTGAACCGCTGAATCATTTTTCCAGCCCTTTCCTTTCCTTTTTAAACAAAGTAGTTCCTCAACGTACCTGGCAAATGTTGGCCAGGCAGCGTCCAGATCATAGCCCCTTGATGCCAGGTCAAACTGAACCTCGGTCAGCTCATAAAGTTGGCCCACAATGTCAGAGCTCAGCTTTGGCTTCAGAAATGGACTTCTTGCATAATACCAGTCACTGTAGAAAACACAACGTGTGAATTACAGGAGCAGCAAGAGTAAGGAAAGAATAGATTTATTCTCTTCTTCAAAGGAATTGCTGCAACAATATAGATGTTTATGCACTATATCAATCTCTTTCCCCTGGAGGATCTGAGACACTTAAATCTCAATACTTGCCAAAAAAGGGCAATTGTAAGGAACAGGACACTTCTTTCTGGGAAGACAACCTCATCTTCCATTCCTTGCCTAGAACTCAATAGGACACATTGGGCTCACTGCTAACTTCTGTTCAGATATTAAATTTAAAGCTAGGCAACAAACTGTCTGTCCAGAAATGCTACCTGCACTTTGTCATGGTGGATTTTCCATTTCACAAGAAGTGACAAAAAGTTTAAAATATGGTGCTTCCTGGCATGGTGGCACATGCCTTTAATCCCAGCACACAGGAGGCAGAGGCAGAGGCAGATGGATGTATTTCTGTGAGTTCAAGGCCAGCCTGGTTTACATAGCGAGTTCCAGGCTAGTCAGGCTACACAGTGAAACCCTGTCTCAAAAATATTAAAAAACAAAAAATAAAAACAAAACCAACCAACCAAACACATAAAGACAGTGCTGATGTATTTAAAGAGCTCCTTGGCTGATGTCTGTGGGCTGTGAAGTTGAGATGTTTATGACAGTCTTCACCAAACACCTAGAACAATATATCCTTCAAAGCATATGTGCAAACATTCACAACTCACAAGCTTGTCACATGTTCAAACACTATTAGTTTATGCAAAACAACCTTAAAGTTAACAAAATAAAGCTAAACATTTTACCATTGTTCTTTAATTCAAAAGTATTTTCTTTAATTAACCAGAATGTTCCTAAGGAGAGGCAGAACACAACTGGAAAAGGGGTGCTGGGCTACCCAAAGAGGTCTAGCTGGTGGGCCCCAGAGCTACAGCTCCTAATCTAATGGCCCCCTCCACCCCCAGCTTCATACACTCAGGCCTGCCTCTCTCCTCCCCTTGCCCTTTCCTGGTGAAGCCGTAGCACTTAGAGGCACAAAGACTGACATATGGATAATTTGGTTTTATCTCAGTTCATACTCTGGCTGCCCCTCAGTCTCCAAGGAGCCCTGACACCCTGGTGGGTACTGATTCAGTGGCAGCTGAAGGCCCAGGCTCAGTGGAGGAAAACCACACAGGCAAAAGAGGCAAAGGTTGGAGACTGTCTGTCTAGGAGCACTGGTTCCACTGAGCTACCACCCACCAGGGAAAAACATGTGGCATTAGAAGTTAAGACATCTGGCTCTAAGCGCTAGTGTCACAGTAGAGCTCATGTGGTCAGGGGCTTGAGAAAGGCAGTCCACTCCCAGTTCTCTTTCCTCACTTGTACTTTACATGCACAAAGACTGGTAGGAAGGACAAAAAATAATGGACGTAGAAGGAACTGCAGGCACCTGCTATTGTGTGACATTGCACCGTGGGTATGGCTGACATCATTTTCATTTCTCAGTGCTATGGGATAAGCCCAGCACGACCTTGCAATTACCTGGTCACTTTGGTGTTCATGAAGCACTGCTGTAAGGTGTCTGCCAACCTCTGGTGCACCAAAGAGTAGCGAATAAAGGCTCTGCCTTTCCCCAAAGATGTTCGGAGCTGAAAAAGCAGATTACATTGAGATGAACTACTATTAGCCTTATGGAAGTTAGCAAAGATCAGATACAGACCCCCATTCTGAGAATACTCTGCAGTCAACAATAAGCAAGATAACTAACAAGACTGTGCATTCTGCTGGACTCACTTCTCTCTCTATTAGAATCTAGGTCAGAGAAGAAACCCCTTCATTTAATCTGGAGTAAGGAGTGAAAGCTGGAGGTAACCGAGGGGCTTCTCATAAGAACCTAGAGGAAGGACAGAATAAGCTTGGCCGGAGCTGGGCTTGCTATTAAGGTACTAGAGTCAGGCTCAGGGAGATGACTTAGAGGCCTGGTAGGAGCATGTGTAGAAAGGAAGTGATGGAAAGGGTAGAGTTGTGCAAGTGGGGGTTTGCAGGGTTTTGCTGGGTATGCAACAGCCTCCTTTTGTTCCCATAAAATGATCAAACCCCATGCATCTGTCCATGCTTTCCTAATAGTTTCTTTTCAGATAAGCCAACTCACTGCATTTAGTCAGTGTGCCAGGGGTGGCAGCAAGTCTTTCCAGACAGTCCTGTCACCCAGCAGTGGATGGTACAGAAGGGCCCAGGTCCTATAACCTTACAATGCCTATAGCAACAAAACTACTCAGAAGAAGGCTTGAAGGGAACCACCTGAAGTTTACTCATTCACAACATGGTATGCTGGGCAGACCCTGCCATGAAGCTACAATACAGGGCCTTGTTATCTCAGAGTACACAACAGTCAAGACAAACAAATTAAAGGGCAATGCCACAGAGAACACGTGAAACAGGTCTGCAAAATAGGATTCATACTCCTGATATATCAGTCCTAGAAGCAGTCAAGGATTCAAAACATGCTGATTTACATGTACCTGTTGGAGCAGGCTCTGGCTCTGAGCAAGATGAGCAGGGCCAACACTCGCCTACCCCTTCCGAGGACAGAAATGTGGCAGGAGAGGGGTAGCAGTAGTCTGATCTAAAAGGGTCCTAATACTCCATACTTTTAAGATGTTAACTGTGGCCCCGGATTGAGACAGGAAGCATGTGGCATACCACTAGGGCCCTAATGATGCTGTGAACACCTCAGTGATAGCTAGCACCTTTAGCTCAGAGTTATGTGTCTTCTTACTGATGACTCAAAGAGATAAAATAACATGAAGTGGTTTTTAAAAAAAAAACAAAAAGATGTGAAACCTCATGAACTATGGAAGCCATAAGACACTTCTATATATCAGTACCGTGTACAGTCACAATGGCCACAGGAGAAATAGGCAGCAGACTGGCTTGATATAAAGTCCTATGGTGTGTCAGCAGAGTTCAGCTCAACAGATGCTCAGGGGACAATCTTGATGCCACCTCCATGGACAAACGCTTTCTCCATGATGAAGTGAGAATAAAATGTTCAGTGGGGACATCCAGGACACCTGGGCAGCTGAGAAGAGCTGGCAAAGTGCACACCCAAATATCCACTCATCAGGGGCCTCTAAGACTAAATCAGACCCTCGCACACAAAACAGCCCTTGTCTGCAATCTCCCCAAACAGGACCTTGCACAGTAAAACTTCTTAAGTGGTAACAATTGAGCTCATCAGCTGAATGGATGAATATATAAAGGGAGCTACTTACTTTAAAGGTATTTTTAATGTCCTTTGGGGAAGGGAATACCTCCTTTGAACTGCAAATGAAAATTACATGGCCTTTTTTATAAAAAAAAATTTTAATTTTATGTGTATGTTTTACCCACATGTATTTAAGTGCACCTGTATCATGCAATGCCCAAAGAAACCAGAGGAAGGTGTTGGGTCTCTTGGAACTGCAGTTATAGATATCATGTGGGTGCTGGGAACCAAACCTGGGTCCTCTGCAAAAACAGCCAGTGCTCTTAACCGCTGAGCCATCTCTCCAG